TTTCGTGGCCCCATAGGGAGCTCCACCGAAGGCGCCAGTGTCTGCGTTCGCATGCGCCCACCGCACCCATTCTGGCACACCCATCACACGCTTCGCGGCACCATAGCGAGCTCCAACGACGGCCCCAATGGTTGCGTTCGCATGCGCCCACCGCACCTATTTCGGCACACGTCTCACGCGTTTCGTGGCCTGACAGGACATTCCACCGACAGCCCCAGTTGCTGCTTTCGCGTGTGCCCACCAGGCAAGTGTTGGTATATGATTTACACGTTCCGTGGCCCTATAGGGGGTTTCTCCGAATGCGGTGCATACAATGACGGTATCTATTCACAACTGCAAATGGTGGGTCCTTCGCCAGGCTAATTACGTACTCGTGTTGGGCGTCCAAAGTATATCTTCATTTTCTCGGCTGCGCGCCCGGGGGGGGAGTGTGACAGAGAAGACCTTCTCACAGGGCGGCGGGGCTGCTCAGAAGCCCTCGCGCCTTCTGAGAAGTTGTCCCTGTCGTCGGGGAAGGTTTAAAACACTTTTCTGAGAAGGTCTCCTCCTTGTCACTTCCCCCCCTCGTTCGCCGCCGACTAGCGGGGAGGCGGCCAGGGGTGTTCAGGCCGAGGTGTACTGACGCCGTCCCGCGGTCGTCTTTGTCCCGTTGTCGCCCGACCTCCAACACTTTGAATCATGAAGACGTGTGTTTTTTCACCTGCGGCCTTCTGGGCCACCTCCCGCCTCTGCGCAGTGAGAAGACTGCCCGGGAAGAGTGCAAAAGGTCTTCGAGTCGGCTACACGTAAGAGTGACCCTTCGCTGGAGTAGTCTTTGGTTCACGGTGTCCAGGGGGCGGGGGTGGGGTAATCCCAAGCACGCAGGCCGCCATCGCTGCAGTTCATGCCGTGACCGGCAGACCGCGCAGCAAAGGTCACAGATGCGCGCTGGGCCGGGGGGGAACCGCCCCGCGTCCACGATGCATCAGCGGCGGCGCGGACGCATCGCCGACGTCGCCGATGCGTCCCCGGTGCGCCGCGGCGCGGGTCCTCCAACCCCATGAGCTCAGAACCCGTCTGGGAGGACCTTCAGCGATGGAATCCCGTCTTGCCAGGCCGTTTACCGAAAGTTCTCGAGGGGTTCTTGGACGTTTTTGTGTTGTCGCAGTGCCATCACCCAGCTTGCCCGAGCGCGCGTGCGGACTGCCTCTGCCGCGCTGCGACGTAAAAAGTGTTCGGACGGTTGCATGGGTTCTCGGCGGCCTTCCAGCCCCGGGGTGCCTTCCAGCGGCTGCGCTTCGCTGGGAGCGTTCTGGGGGTCCAGGATCGGCCCGAACGGCGGCTGGGCCCTCATGGGAGGCCTCTCGCAGGCCACTCTTGCGCGCAGCCAGCTGCCACGGTGGCCCTGGGTCAGACCCCCCAGGGCCAGGACAAAGACTAATCAGGACAATAGGAAGTCGGGAAAACGGCACCCGTGCAGTTTTTGTTCGTGCCGCCTTCTTGTGCGGTGCAGTTTTTTGTTCGTGCCGCCGTCGGGAAAAATTCTAGACGCTTCGCTTATCCCCACCAGCCCATCCCGAAACGATGTCCAGGCGAGTTGAGGTGATCAGGGAAGTGCGGCAGCAAAGAGGAGGACGGCCGAACCGTGCAAAGGAGTGAGGAGGAGAAGGAGGAGGTGGATGGATGGATGGATGAGGGAGTGGGAAGACGGAGGATGAATAGGATGAGGAGGAGGCGGAGGAGGAGGAGGAGGAGGAGGAGGAAGAGAAGGAGTAGGAGCAGGAAGGAGGAACAGGAGGAGGAGGAGGAGGGCAAGCACAAGGGCCAGAGGTCTCTTGGATGCCTCTAGGAGCCTCTTGGAGTATCTCTTGGGCGATTCTTGGGGGCCTCTTGGGACGTCTTGGGGGTCTCTTGGCGATCCTGGGGGGCTCTTCGGGGTCTTGGGTGCCTCGGGGGGGGGGGCCTCTTGGGGCCTCTGAGGGTCTTCTTGGGGGCCTTCTGGGGGCCTCTTGGGGGCCTCTTGGGGCCATCTTGGGGCCATCTTGGGACCTCTTGGGGCCTCCTGGGCGCTTCTTTGTGCCATCTTGGAGGAGATCTATCAAATAAGAGCTGAGCTTTAATTAGCGCTGCCCCCCAGGAGGCCAAAATGGGGCCAAAACCCTGCTAAAATCAATGTTTTTGGCTTCCTCGCCGAGGCTGTTTTGGACGCTCTGACCGCTCCCCGCCCCTCCTGTCCAGGTCAGTGGGGAGGGGGTAGGGGGAGGGGTAAACCCCTCCCCGAAGGGGAAGAGGGAGGGGTGGAAGAGGAAACGCCCTAAACCACCGACGCCCAGAGGGCTGGTGGGATTAGCGCTGCCCCTCCAGACTGTCTAAAATCGCTTCCTGGACCCCTCTTGGATCGCTCTTGGGGCGCTCTTGGACGCTGTTGAGGCAGTCTTGAGGCTCTCTTGGGCCCCTGTTGGGGCCCAGTTGGGACATCTTGGCGCCATCTTGAGGCCTCGGATGGGCTTCGGAAGCGAAAAAGTGAGAACACCAAAAACATTGATTTTCCCTAGGGTTTTAAAGCATTTCGGCCTTTTGAGGGCACTCTAATGATGCTCTTGTGGGCACTTGGAACCATCTTGGAGCGGTCTTGGAACGTGTTGGAGCGTCTTCTGAACCATCTTCAGGCATCTTGCGCTATCTTGAGCCATCTTGGAGGCGATCTTGGGCTCTCTGAGGCCCTCTTGGAGCCGTCCTGGGCCATCTTGGACGCTCTGACCGCTCCCCGCCCCTCCTGTCCAGGTCAGTGGGGAGGGGGTAGGGGGAGGGGTAAACCCCTCCCCGAAGGGGAAGAGGGAGGGGTGGAAGAGGAAACGCCCTAAACCACCGACGCCCAGAGGACTGGTGGGGAAACGCTTCGCGTATCCACACCAGCCCGTCCAGAAACGACGCCCAGGCGAGTAGAGGGTCGTCCTGAGGGGCTTTTCGGCGTCTTGGGTGCCTCGGGGGGGCCTCTGTGGGCCGTTCGGGATCCTGTTTGGGGCCTCCTGGGGGCCTCTTGGGGCCTCTTGGGGCTATCTTGGGGCCTTTAGGGGCCTCCTGGGCGCTTCTTGGGGCCATCTTTGCCCCCCCAGGAGGCCAAAATGGGGCCAAAACCCTGCTAAAATCAATGATTTTGGCTTCCTCGCCGAGGCTGTTTTGGACGCTCTGACCGCTCGCGGCCCCCCTCGTCCAGGTCCACGGGGAGGGGGTAGGGGGAGGGGTAAACCCCTCCCCGAAGGGAAAGAGGGAGGGGTGGAAGAGGAAACGCCTTAAACCACCGACGCCCAGAGGGCTGGTGGGATTGCCTCGATCAGGGAAGTGGACACCACACAGAGGAAGCCAGTATGAGACATCTTGGGATTTCTTGAGCCATCTTGGAGGTCATTTTGGGCTCTCCGAGGCGCTCTTGGAGTCATTTTATTCAGTGCCCCCCCCAAGAGGCCAACATGTGGCTAAAACCTTAGTGCAAACAATGGTTTGACATTATCGCCGAGGCCTCTGGGAGCACCTTGGGTGCCCCTGGGGGGTCTCTTGGGGCCTCTTGGGGGTCTCTTGGGGGCCTCCTGGGGGCCTCTTGGGGGGCCTCTTGGGGCCATCTTGGGGCCATCCTGCGGCCTCTTGGGGCATCCTGGGGGCCTCTTGCGGCCATCGTGGAGGAAATCGATCAAAGAAGAGGGGAGCTTTAATTAGCCCTGCCCCCTCAGAAGGCCAAAATGGGTCCAAAACCCTGCTAAAATCAATGATTTTGGCTTCCTCGCCGAGGCCGTTTTGGATGCTCTGACCGCTCCCCGCCCCTCCTGTCCAGGCCAGTGGGGAGGGGGTAGGTGGAGGGGTAAACCCCTCCCCGAAGGGGAAGAGGGAGGGGGGGAAGAGGAAACGCCCTCAACCACCGACGCCCAGAGGGCTGGTGGGATTGGGTTCGAGGTACAGTCGACCCGCAAAGTCAGGATGAGTGACTTTCCAAGGGTGCCCTTGCATCCTTGCCCCTCTGGCCCAGCCCATCCTTAGCGAGCGACTTTCGCTGGCCAGCCTCGCTCGAAAAAACGTTAAACATGGCCCTCCAAGACCCTCACCTCCTTTCCGCGCCTCCTTCTTATACGGGTTGACTGTATGCTGGATGTTCCGGCCTGGCGTGTCCGGGCTCAGGGGGCCCTGACGGGGGTGCGGCAAAGGGCGCTGCGGGCACATTGCCAGGCGGTGCAAGACACCCGGGCCCGCAGCGGGCTTCCGTCTTCCGAGGAAGATGAGGTTCGGATGCAACTCTTGGGAGGTCAGATTCTGATCTTGCCCTGGTCCGAGATCCAGCTTGATCCGGTTTATTCCCGCGTAGTCCTGCTGAGTCCCGCTTAGTCCGGCTTGATCCCACTGAATCCGCGGCCCAATCCGGCGTAGCAGCCCCCCAATGGGGCCTAGTCATTTTTACTCCTTCGGACGAAGACCTCCTAGTAGTTGCCTCCTTAAGGAGAAAGAGGAAGAGTAATCCGAATAATAATGGTAAGGAGAAGGATCGCAACACAAACCAGGTCAAGTAGTAGGAAGAAGACGAAGAAAGTGCATACGGCAGGCTCGCGCCACGTCGCCCAGCGGCGAACCCCGCCGCCGGCGTCCAACGCTGAACTCCGCCAGCTACCCAGCGTCGGCCGATGTTGAAAACAGTCCGACGCTTCGGAAACGGCCGATCTTTCAAGGCCGACCGATCCCGGCGGCGTCAGGAACCAGCGCCCGGGGCGGCGTCACGGCGCGAGCCTGCCGTGAGCAGAAACTGTCGGCGCTCCGCGCGGGCTTGTTGCATCCTCGCTGGGCCCCTCTGGCGTCGCCTCCGCCGCCGCCCCCGGTGCGCTCCGCGCGCGCCAGGGGCGGCGGGATGCAGCGCCGATCCAAGAAATCCGGGCGGACCTCGGAAAGTTCGTGTTCATGCAGCTTTGTGGCTACCAGGGGGGGTGGGGGAGGCGCAGGGGGCCCGTCGGTTTGTCGGGTTCCGTCGGTTTTCCTCGGTTTGGGCCCCTGGTTTTCCGTTTTTGGCCTCTGCCCCCAGTGCCTCCCCCAACCCCTCGGTGGTGCTGGCCTTGGGGCGGCGCGGCGCGGGCGCGCCCGCGGTCCTGTGGCCGACGTGCCGAGCAGAGCTCCTCGGGGAGCTTTGGCGTAGTCAGTCCCTCAGTCCCTCCTTCTCCTCCTTGTCCTCGTCCTCGTCCTCGTCCTCCTCTTCCTCGTCCTCCTCTTCCTCGTCCTCCTCCTAGTCCGAGTACCACTCTTGTTCGTGCCCGCGGGGTCACAGGCATTCCCCGCTCGAGGTCGGTCCACATATCGTCCGGTCGGGTCACTGAGGCATCTTTGTCTTTGTTTATGCTTCTCTGTATTTCTGTCTGTCTGTCTCTGTCTCTGTCTGTCTGTCTGTCTGTCTGTCTGTCTGTCTGTCTGTCTGTCTGTGTGTCTGTGTGTCTGTGTGTCTGTGTGTGTCTGTCTGTCTGTGTGTCTGACTTTCTGTCTGTCTGTCTGTCTGTCTGTCTGTCTGTCTGTCGGTCTGTCTGTCTGTCTGTCTGTCTGTCTGTCTGTCTGTCTGTGTGTCTGTGTGTCTCTGTGTCTGTGTGTGTCTGTGTGTCTGTGTGTCTGTGTGTTTGTGTGTCTGTGTGTCTGTCTTTCTATCTGTCTGTCTGTCTGTCTGTCTGTCTTCTCTTTCTCCTCGAACTATTGGTAGATTGTATATATATATATATATATATATATATATATATGTGTCTCTCTCTCTCTCTCTTTCTTTCTGCGTTTGCTCTCTCCATCTCTCTTTCTCTCTCTTTCTCTCAATCTTCATTTGCGGGTTGGTTGTCGTCAGAACGGTCATCCGCTTTGAGACCCGCACCTCGCCAAAATCCATACATTGTTTCCTGCATCCAAGTATCCTGTTTTCTTGAGTCTGTAGCTGGCCTTAACGTGGCACTCGCGCGCCAGGGAGGGTGGCAGTGCCCAGTGCGCTCTTCTCAGCTACGTAGTCTGCGCATTCCTGCTCCAAGCTATTTTTTGGTTCCCCTGGCCTCCCCTTCCCACCCTCCTCGCCCTTCTCCTTCTCCACTTCTCCCCCTCCTGCCCCTCCTTTCCTCCTCCATTCCTTCTCCTTATAGGTAACTCCTCCCTGTCACACCCCGAAGCCAGTTTTTAGGGCGGACCGGGCGTTTCGCCTGAGACTTCCTCATCACTTACGATCCTGAAGCTTAAAAGTTGACAACAGTTTCACAGATGGAGGGCGGGTGGTTTTCAAAAGTGGCTCTCGCCTCAGCGCCGCGCATATTCGTTCTAAACAATTGCAAGAGCTTCACGGATTGAGGGCGGTTCCTTTTCAAAATGTGGCTCTCGCCTTAGCGCCGCGCACATTCTCGATACCAAAATTGCAAGAGTTTCAAGGATTCCCATGATCGACGTTCAAGAAACGGCGTCTTGGAAGGATTCACGATTTTGAGGGTGCAGCAGTTACGATGCTTCGCGGAGTTTGAGGTCCCAGGAGTGGCGTGCTGGCACGATTCAGGATCGTCAAGAAGCAACAGTCAGGTTCATCCGTTGCGTTGGAATACAGAGAATCATGTTTTGGAATGCTTCAAGGTCTTCAAGCGATTGTCTTCCAACGAGGCAAGTCCCTCTGTGGAAGTGAACCGTTGTAGGGGCATATGAAGAGTGAGCTTGGGGGAAGGTTTATTCCAACATCGTTGGTGACTCTTGGGTTTACACCTCCTCATCCTCCTCCTCCTCCTCCTCCTCCTTCCTCCTCCTCCTCCTCCTCCTCCTCCTCCTCCTCCTCCTCCCTCCTCCTCCCCCTCCCCCTCCCCCTCCCCCTCCCCCTCCCCCTCCCCTCTCCCTTCCCTTACCCCTTCCCCCCCTCCCTCTGAGGCGGCGGCGACGGTGGATGCGGCGCGGGTGCTGGCGCGTACGGCGCGGCCTATGGTGCCGGAGCCGGCGCATACGGTGCGGGCGCGAAGGGCGGCCAGAGTGCGTACGGTGCCTTGGCACGGGGAGTGGGCAGAGGGAGGGCGGGAAGCCGGGGACTCGGAACAGAGAAGATTGCAGAAACATGTGTCTACTTTTGGGGGGTCCGCGCGGAGTTCTTGACCCCTCTTGCGGCGCCTCCAGTGCCGATCCAGAAAGCCTGCGCGGACCTTCCACAGTTTCTGTTTCATTGGTTTGTCTTTCTCTAGGAATGGGAGATGGGGGGAATGGGAGGGTGGGGAATGGGACAGTGGGGGGAAGGGAGAGGGGGAGAGGCAAGCTAGGTGCGCTCGCGCCATATCTGACATCCTACCCTTCCCTCCCATGCCTTCCCATTGCGCTGATGTTTTACCTATCTGCGGACGCGTGTCATAGCGGTCTGGAACTCCCAGAAAGACCCCATCGTGTTATGCACAGTCGGAAACGGGGCCGCTGATTAGAAGGAAAGAAAGGGGACAAGGAAGGAGGAGGAGGAGGAGGAGGAGGAGGAGGAGGAGGAGGAGGAGGAGGGGCAGTTGATTAGAAGGAAAGGAAGGGGACAAGGAAGGATGATGATGAGGAGGAGGAGGAGGAGAAGGAGGAGGAGGAGAAGGGAGGAGGAGGAGAAGGGAGGAGGAGGACGATGACAAGGACGAACAGCAGCAGTGGGAACTTGAGTGGAAGGGGCACGGGGAGCAGGAGGATCAGGGAAAAGCGGAGGGGGGGAAAGGAAGGGGCGACAACGATGCGGAAGGACTCGGATCGAGAAGTGGTCCACGCTGGGGAGAGAGCGCTACACTGAACGATGGGAGCAAAGCGCCGATATGAAAATGAGGCACTGGCTGTAGCGGAAACACCGCTTTGAAACACCGACAACGGTAGGATGCGAAAACGTCATAGAAGGAACATAACAGTTGTCCAACGCTTTATCTGACATCATCTGGACAGAGAGGAGAGGACGGAGATCTTCTGGACAGAGTCAGGGGAGGAGAGTAGTGTTCATAATGTGTATCTGTGGAGTGGGAGGGTGGTTGGGTTGGCGGATGGGGAGGCACAAAACAAACGGGTCCTGAGTAGAACATGCCCTCCTGAGTTTTTTCGCCGCTTTTTGGCACTCGGGTCCCTCCCTTGGGACTGTCAAACAGTGATTGCAGATGAAGAGCTTTGAGAACGTCGCGGAAGAGTTACAACATCCTCGAACATCAGGACCATAGACCTGGACCTCACCTCGCTGTGGCATTTTTCGAGCCGGATCTGGCCATTCGGCTCTAGGTAATCTTGGCGAAACCGCCCGGCGTGAAAGCTTGCGACCCTTCCCCTTCAGGACCCGTCTCTTCAACAGTTGAGTATGAACCTGCTTTTGATTGGGAGGGGCTGTGGTTTGCGGGCCGTTCCTCAGACCTAGGTCGGAGAACCTACGCCATGGCCGAGCCTCGACGTGGCCAGGAAATCACCCCCTTTCCTTTGGCATCATTGGCCATGGTAGCACAGTGACAGCACTGTCAAGCCCTTTGTTGTCGCAAAATGATGCTTGGCGTAAGTGCTTGCCCAAAATGCCCTCGATGAGAAATACTGAAATTGCCAGTTTTTTTCTGGCAACGGCGCCTTTGGAGAACCTCGGTACCCTCGGTGCGCTATACAGATGTGGCAAGGGGCTGACATACTAATCGCCAGCCAGCGACGCCAGCGAGAACCCATGTGTCGCATTGTGTCTTGCGGTGGAGATGCGAGCTGCGGGGATTCTTCAATGTTGGGTGGAGATGCGAGCTGCCTCCATGCTCCAAGGTTCATTGTTTTAGCCTCTGGCGCGATTTCGCCGGGTGCGGCAGGCCTCCTCCTCCTCCTCCTCCTCCTCCTCCTCCTCTTCTTGCTTCCTCCTCCTCCCGGGTCCGGGGGCACTGCGGAGAGGGCGGCCTTTCTTATAAGCCATCTTTCGCATCGGCCGGGCGCTCCAACTCCATTCTGACGCACGGCATTTGAGGTGGCTCAGTGGTCTCATGATTGCGTCGCTGAGCTTGGCATCGTGCTGCTGTGTCCGCTCCCCCTCCTCCCCTCCAAAATTGCGCTGAAAAAAATTGTGTCTTGCGGTGGCGTTGTCAACAACTGCCCCTCGGAACAAATTAAGCGGACTACATGGAAGTAGGAACTTGATAACTGCGTCCGTTACGGGGAGTCGCTTTCCCTCCCTCCCCTCCCCGTAGCGGTGCCGAGCGTGCGGGGGAGGGGCACTGGTTCCCCCACAGGGACGGCGCGGTGTTCACAGGCATGCTGTGCTGCTGACAGGCGTGCTGTGGTGCTCACAGGCATACTGTAGCGCTCCCAGGCCCGACCCCCGCCACCTGCCCCCCGCAATGGGCGTCACGGAGGGGGGAGGGGAGAACAGCCACACACTGTGTTTGGCTTCGTGGGCATGATCAGGCGTCATATAATTATCTTCTTCAGGCCGGCGTTCCCAGCACGATTTTGCCCTGTTTGCAGGTCGGCTTGTGCGGCTTTCCCGGGTTGCTCGTGGTGTGGTGTGCCTGTTTCACCCGTGGTATTTCTCCGCTGCGGAAGGTCTTTGATTCATCGTTGGTCATTGTAGCACGGCTGTACGATGACTATATGCCGAGAGGGGGACCCGCAGCCGCAGCAGGCGCTGCTGACGGCCCAGGCGACGCGTATGCCGCCGCCTTGGCGAAGGAGAGCTGCGGCAGCTTCTCACGGGCGGGGCCTCTGGCAGCCCTTCCCGGCCGCCCCGCCGGCGGCCCCTCCAGCGGCCCTCCCCCCACTCGGTACGACCGAAATGGGTACGGAAAGAACAGGCACAAGGACCGACAACAGTCCCTGATCCTCAGCTGCCTCGACACGTCCCAAGTTGACTCGCAACGCGTACCGTGCTCAAAACGTCCATATCAACATGCTGCGTGTTGGCTCAACGTGTTGGCCTACGTGTTGACGAATTATCACGCCATTAGTCTACGTGTTGAGCTCCGTGTCCACACGCTACGTGTTGCGTGTTGCGTATCGAGGCAGCTAAGCCCTGATCATTTTGAGTAGGACTCGCTGTGGGTGTCGCCGCGGACGACGTCCATGTGAGACAGGCGGGCGCCTGCCCAACAGCGGTCGCTATCGGTTTTGGACAACGATTGTTATTGAGCATCGTGCCCACTTGTTCCGTACCCACGTCGGGCGTCCAAACCCATTTTTATTCGTTGTGAGACATTGGAGCTTGAAGCCTGGCGGATCCTGTGCCACCTCCCACAGGCCGAGCACCACGAACTTCTGGCTTCTGGCTGCCCTTCTGCCTGGCCGCCTCTCGGCCTTCCCCTCTTCTCTGTCCTCTCGTGCTGCTCCTCCTCTTCCTCCTCCTCCTCCCTCCATTCCAAGGTCCCATCTCTTTCCGTTCCCTCTCTTTCCCCCCTCTCTCTTTGTTTTCTCTGTCTCCTCCTCCCCCCCTGCCGTCCTGCTGTTTGGGCCTCTTGCCCGGCCCGGCCACCATCCCAAGAGGCTTGGTCCTGTTGCACTCTGTACGTCGGCACCACCCAGAAACGCATGCGTGCATACGACGTGTGCGTCCGCCCTCCCCCAGGGGCGACGCGCGCGCTCAGTCAGCTTATGTGGTCTCTGCTCGGTGGCGGGCGCCCTCTGGCCACGCCGCTCGGGCCACGATCTACCTCAGTATCGTGGCCCGAGCGGCATGGCCAGAAGGCATGGCCTCTGCCGATCCCCATCCCCATCCCCATCCCCATCCCCATCCCCATCCCGAGCCCCACCATCTCACCACCCCAGTCGGGGATGTACCCCTCGGAACCCGAAGGGAGCAGCAGCCTATACCCCCCATCTAGGGGGGCAAATCGGCCAGTGGGGCCCAGGCCACGCGACTGGGGATAGGGATCGGTTAAACGATGCCCAATACCATTACATGTCTGTGCCCTCTGTTCGGTTCGGACGTGCGCCTCCGTGGAGGGCGGCGCATCGTTCCAGCATGCTCTTCTGCACCCCACTATCGTGGGCGCCGCCAGCGGAGGGAAGGGCTCTGGACCTCTGGGGGTCTACTTGCGCGGCGCTCGGCGGCCTTTGGCGTGCGTGGCCCAGCCTTCGGCGCCCCTCGGGCGGTCCTCGGCGGCCGCCTCGCGCTTTTCTCTTCGCCTCGCCCACTCCAGCCTCGGGCGGGGAGGGCTGGGCATTGCTCGGCGGGTGGGGATCGGGGGGGTGCCCGCACAGAGGAGCAAGAGGTTCGATCTCTTCTTTTCCTTCCCCCTCTTCTCGGAGGGGGGCGAGGTACCGATGCCGCTGCTCGTCCTGCAGAGCCCTCGTCGCCACGGCTGGAGTCACCTCGAAGTTCTGGTCATAATGCATCCTGGATGAGGTCTGGGGAGAAGCGGTCAACGATCACAGCGATGCCAACGATAATAAGGATCAATAACCACGATCGTTGTTACCGTTACTAGCGTTAGTATCGTTGTTACCGGTGTTATTATTATTGGGCAAATTATTATTATTATTGTTGTTGTTGTTGTGGTTGTTGTTGTCGTTGTTGTTGTTGTAATTGTTGTTGTTGTTGTTGTTGTTGGTGTTGTTGTTGTTGTTGTTGTTGTTGTTGTTGTTGTTGTTGTTGTTGTTGCTGCTGCTGCTGTTGTTGTTGTTGTTGTTGTTGTTCTGGTTGTTGTTGTTGAACTCTCATTTCTGAAGAATAATTATTGTTGATCCCCCCTGTCCGGTGCCCATTGGTTTTTTCAATTGAAGTGCTTCCTCCGGGGTTCGCACCCTGTTTTTTGACAGGGAAAGCCTTGCGGATCAGATTGCGTTGTTGGGCCCCAGACTACAACAACAACGGCTCCCGCCTGAGACTTCCTCACAATTTACTCAGGGCCCCCGCTCCCGCCTGAGACTTCCTCACAATTTACTCTGGAAGGGCGCTCCCGCTTCAGACTTTTTCACATTTTACTCAGAAACGGCGCTCCCGCTTGAGACTTCCTTAATCAGGACCCCTGCTCCCGCCCGAGACTTCTTCATAATTTACTCAGGAATGGCGCTCTCGCTTAGGACTTCCTTGCAATTTATTGCAGCATCGCGTTCTCGACGCTCAGGAACCACGCTCGCGCCAAGGACGCCCTCGCAATTTACTTAGGAATCGCGCTCTCGCTTAATACTTCCTCGCGATTTACGCAAACATTCCCGTTTGAATGTCCCGCCCACCCGACCCGCCCGTCAGGGTCCGCCCGCCCGACGGGCGCTCCCGCCTGAGACGTCCGACAATGTACTCGGGACCCCCGCTCCCGCCCAACTCTTCCTTGAGGAATACGCTCTCGCCTAGGACTTCCTCGAACGTTCACACTCTTACCCTCCTGCCCCTTCCTCCCCATCCAACCTCCCTCCTCCCTCCCCTCTCCCTCATATCCACCCTCCTCCTCCCTCTTCCTCTCTCCCCTCACCCTCCTCCCATAACCCTCCTCCCTCCTCTCTTCGCCCTCCCCTCTCCAGCCTCCTCCTTCCTCCCTCCTGTGTCTCTCTATCTCCAATCGCCCCCCCCCCCCTCCTCGCCCCCTCTCTTCTGGCGTGTTCCCCTTTAGCCTCGTCCCTCCCCCTCCCTTCCACCCACTCTCCCTCGTTCTCCCCCTTCCTCTTCTTGCAGGGCCCGCGCTAATTCCAACGGTGGGCAAAGAGATGCGTGCCCCATCCTCCGAATAATTCCCCGCCCGTTCACGCCCGCTTGTCTAAGCCCGCCCGCCCCCGCAAAAAGAAAGAATCCCCCCAGAAGGGGGTACGCTCGAAGACGAAGGGGGCGGGTATCGAGGGCGTGGGTATACACGTTGCATGGCACGCGGGCAAGTAAGAGCGAACAGTCTTAAAATGATTGTTGTTGTTGTTGTTGCTGTTGTTACTTTGTTGTTGGTGTCTGTGGTGGTGGTGGTGGTGGTGGTTGTTGTTGTCGCTGTTGTTGTTGTTGCTGTTGTTGTCGCTCTTGTGGTGGTTGTTGTTGTTGCTGTTGGCGCTGTTGCTTTTGTCTTTTGCGTTGGTGTTGGTGCTGGTGTTGGTGTTGGTGTTGTTGTTGTTGCTGCTATTGTGTTATGTGTGATCGTCTTGTTCGTTGTGATTGTCATTGCTGTTCGCAATATTACCATCGTGATCGTTGTTGTCGTTACTGTCGTTGTGATCGTTATCCTTGGTGGTGCCCGTTTACCCCCCCACCTTCCTCCCCGCGCAGGGGGGGCTCCCATCCTTTCCGTTCCTTCCTCTTCATCTCCGTTCTGCTGCCAGCGGTCTGCAGAACCCTTCCGTGCTGGCCGCTTTTTCTGTTTGCACGGCCTGGCCGCTCTGCTCGGCCAGCGCACTTCGGCGACCCATCCTTGCTTGACGTGTTGACGCTGCTCATGGGGCTGTTAGCGTGGAGGATGCCTGGGAGATCTGTTCGCCCCCTGCCTCCTCGCCTGGCCGCCCCCCCGCGCGACCGCCTGCCCCGAAGGCGAGTGTGTGTTCGCGAGGCTTGGCCTCTCCCCCCTTCCCTCCGTCGCCCCCTTCTCCGCCGAGGGAGGAAACCCCACTGCGACCCACACAGCCTGCGCTTACTGGGCAGCCCTGGGCATCTTCCGAGAAGCCCTGCCCCGCTCGATCTCTCTCCCCTCGGGTGCGCTTACCATGGGGCTTCGCTCGAGGGGGTGCTTATTCTGAGTGTGGCTCTTCTGTCCTCCACGTATCGCTCCTCTCTACTTTGTTTAAATGCGGCCCCCCTGGAAGTCCTGACCCTTCTCTTTTCATGACGATCACTGGGCCCGGCCAGGCCCCCCAGAGATCAGAAACGGCAATCCAACCCCGTCTCGTTTTGGTTCAAATGCGTTGGATGTCTGGGTCCCTTCGTCGTTCCCTCTCTTCGATGTTCGTTTTGGGGCCCTCCCCGGGCCCACATAGCGGATACGTCTGACTCTAGCTCGACGCTAGCTCCTAGCTCGACTCGAGCTCGGTCCAAGCTCGGCTCGAGTTCGACCCATAGCAACGGACGCTCGACGAAGCTTCGATGCACGATTCGTGCGAGTTGCCTCAGTAAGGCCCCCAGAGCCAGCATCTTGCGATCCTCGACCCTCCGCCTTCACGAGGGGGGGCCACTAGGGGGGGGGCTCGAGGGGCCGCCGATCTTCGGGGCTCGGGCTCCCCCACCAGGCGTCAAGCCCTGAACTACAGGCAAGCTCTGCGGCGCGCCTGGGGGGGAGGGCAGCGGGGGCGCGCCACCTGAGCGACGCAGAATAGCAGGCTCGACTGCGCCGACACTCGCGCGTACGCTGCCCGCGCGAGGTCGCGCGTGAGCGCCCTCGTTTCCAGTCCAGAGTGCCGCGCTGGCGGCCCGCGCAAGCCGCCGCGTAAGGTCGCTGCGCCGTGTCGCGGAAGACTCGCTCTTCTCCGTCGCTCGTGATGATGATGATGCTGATGGTGATGATGATGATGATGATGATGATGATGAAGATGATGATGATGATGATGATGATGATGATGATGATGATGATGATGATGATGATGATGATGATGGTGATGGTTATGATGATGATGGTGATGATGATCACGATATTGTTGATGATGATGGTGGTGGTGATGATGATGGTGATGCTGATGCTTATGATGATGCTGGTGATGATGCTGGTGATGAAGACGACGACGCTGATGCTGGTGATGATGATGCTGATGATTAAGATGATGGTGGTTGCGATGGTGATGATGATGCTGATGCTGATGCTGATGCTGATGCTGCTGATGATGATGCTCATACTGGTGGTGATCATGATGACGCTGATTATGGTGGTGATGATGATGCTGATGATGATAGTGATGGTGGTGATGATGATGCTGCTGATAATGATGTTGATGCTGATGATGATGGTGGTGATGACGGTTGTGATGATGCTGATGCTGATGTTGATGCCGCTGGTGATGAAAAGGATTGTGATGGTGGTGATGATGATGCTGATGCTGATGATGATGATGGTGATGATGATGCTGATGCTGCTGATGATGATGATGATGCTGATGCTGATGCTGCTGATGATGATTATGGTGGTGATGGTGATGATGCTGATGCTGATGCTGCTGATGATGATGATGCTGATGATGGTGATGATGCCGATGGTGGTGATGGTGATGCTGACGCTGATACGGATGCTGATAATGATGCTGATGCTGATGCTGATGCTGATGATGATTATGATGCTGGTGATGGTGATGATGCTGGTGATGCTGATGCTGCTGATGATGGTGATGATAATGATGATGCTGGTGGTGATGATGCTGGTGATGCTGGTGCTGATGCTGATGACGGTGCTGGTGGTCATTATGATGCTGATGTTGATGATGATGGTGGTGATGATGATGATGATACTGATGGTGATGATGATTATGATGATGTTGCTAGTGACGATGATGCCGGTAGTGCTGGTGGTGCTGATGATGATGGGGATGGCTGTGATAATGATGCTGATGCTGCTGCTTCTGATGATGATGATGATGATGATCTTGGTGATGCTCATGATGACGATGATCATGGTGGTAATGATGATGGTGATGATGATGATGATGATGGTGATGCTGATGATGATGATGATGGTTGTGATGATGATGATGATGATGCTGATGCTGATGATGATGATGATGATGATGGTGATGATGATGGTGGTGAGAATGATGATGATGATGATGATGATGATGATGGTGCTGATGACGATGCTGATCCTCAAGCTTAGTCTCATGGTAATGGTGATGATGAGACTGTGCTGATGATGCCGCTCATGATGATGCTGATGCTGCTGCTGATGCTGCTGCTGATGCTGATGACGATGCTGGTGGTGATCATGATGATGATGATGATATTGATGATAATGATGATGATGCCGATTACGATCATGATGATGGTGCATATGGTGATGATGATGATGGTTGTTATGATGACGCAGATGTTGACGTTGATGCTGATGCTGATGCTGATGATGATGATACTGATGGTGATGATGATGACGATGCTGATGCTGATCGTGATGATGATGCTGATGCTTTTGCTGTCGATGATGCTGATGATGTTTATGATGATGGTGGTGAGGATGATCATGATGGTGATGCTGCTGCTGATGATGATGATGATGATGATGATGGTGGTGGTGAGGCTGATGCTGCTGATGATGCTGATGATGATGATGATAATGGTGATGATGATGATTATGGTGGTAATGCTGATGCTGATGCTGGTGCTGATGATGACGATGACGATGATGGTGGTGATGATGATGCTGATGCTGATGGTGCTGATCATGGTGATGGTGGTGATGATGATGATGATGATGATGATGCTGGTGGTGATGACGATGCTGATGCTGATGCTGATGATGATGCTGACGATGATGGTGGTGATGGTGATGCTGATGATGGTGATGATGACGGTGATGACGATGATGGTGGTGATGTTGATGGTGATGATGCTGACGATGATGATGATGCTGATGCTGATGATGATGGTGATGATGATGATGGCAATGTTGATGATGATGATGATGATGCTGATGATGACGATGATGATGATGATGATGATGATGATGATGAGGATGGTGATGATGATGATGATGATGATGATGAGGATGATGATGATGCTGACGCTGATGATGGTGATGATGATGCTGCTGATGATGATGATGCTGATGATGATCCCGCTGTTGCTGATGCTGATACTGCTGATGCTGATGCTGATGCTGATGCCATGTGTATCTCCCGCTGCCGCCCTCCGTGCCCGCCGGCCGGCAGCCCGCCCGCCTCGTCCCTGCAGCTCTCTCCCCGCGAGGGCGGTTACGGCGGAAAGAACGGCGGCTACGGCGGGAAGGGCGCCGCCTACGGCGCCGCCTACGGCGGGAAGGACTTGGCCTTGCAGCAAGCGGGTCCCACGTCAGGCTGACCCAACTTCGATTATTGCACCTCCGCCCGATATGGAATTCCAAGTTCGAGCTTAAATGATCTAAGTTCGAGCCTTGGTCATCTAAGTTCGGCCCTCTAAGGGCCCATGGGCCCTCTACGGGCCCCGGGAGCGTCTGCACCCGGCGCAGGGCGGAAGAGTGAGCCCGGTGGAAAGGCCCCTGGGGTCCGGGACCCGCTTCCTCGCGGACCCGTTCGCTGCATGCCAAGAGGATTCTGGCTATGGCGGGATGCCTTCCGCCTACGGCGGGAAGGACTTGGGCTACGGCGGGAAGGCAGCTGCCTACGGTGGGAAGGACTTCGGCTATGGCGGGAAGGACTCTGGCTACGGCGGGAAGGACACCAGCTACGGCGGGAAGGACTTTGGCTATGGCGGGAAGGATACCAGCTACGGCGGCTACGGCGGAAAGGATGCTGGCTACGGCGGGAAGGAGTTACGCGCCCACAAGGGAGTGGGATTTAGCTGCGCCCGTGTGTGCATGTATTGGGGCGCTGGCCCGGAGGAGGAGGAGGAGGAGGAGGAATATGAGGAGGAGGGATACAGACGGAGGGAGGAAAACGGGTGGGCTAGGAGTAGGGAGTAGGGGAGGAAGGGTGGGGGAAGGATGGGTGGTAGGAGGAAGGACGGAGGGAGGGAACTGCGCTACGTACAAGTGTTTGCCCCGAGTTCGGGGGGCTCCTGCCTTCGAGCGTTAGCTTTTGCACTCAAGCCGGCCGCAACCGTGGCTGTGTTCCTTACCCATTTGGGGTTGCTGGCCAGACCTGGGCCCCCCTCTCGATGCACCGTCTGCGCGGGGGGATCCCGCAGGGAGCGTTGTCGGGAGCACGGCCCCTGCCTTCGTGGTCGATCGGCTGTTCCGATGTTATATGGAGCGCTGCGGGAAGGGGGCCTCGCCTCCGATGGGTCGCGGGGTGCCCACTCTTCCTCTGCCGAAGGCGACGGATGTGAGCATCGGCCCTCCAAGAGATGATGCACCTGATTTTTCCTGATTCAGGGTCCCTGGAGCGGGCCACATAGGGTCAGGGGCGTTGGCTCAGCGTGTCGCCCCGCTGGTTCTTGCCCACCACGCTGCGACGCGGCACGCTCGCCACATCCCAGTCCCCAGGTAGGCGTCAACGTCTCGAGCGTTTCCTGGCCTCCCGCCTTGCGGAGCGGAGCGGCGCGCTATCCGCTCGCAGAGGATAGCGTGTCGCCGGGGCCGCTGCCGACACGCTAAGCAGATGTTCCCGACCGTAGCCATCGACGCGCAGAGCTAGGCCACCCGCGGTGGCGCCACGAGAGCCGCGCTTCGCCGCTTCTCGGGCCCGGACCACAGGTGGATTTTTTTGGCTAGTTCCTCGGAGACCGGGACGCTGCAGGCGCGGACTTTGCTAGTTCCGGCCTGAGAAAACCGAAGAACGGACAATGGTTCGATCTCAGCCGCAGCATTTTTCTTCGATGCGCGAGTGTCCTGTTTCAGCAAGGTTCCGATTTTCTGGTCCCAGATATGTCAGATGACGGCTCGAGGGCAGGGAGATGATCGCGCTTCAGCGCGAAGTTGCATGAACCAGCAGAGGAGGGAGTTGTCCCGATGTCTGGGCGCAGACGAGGAGGAGAAGGAGAAGGAGAAGGATGAGGGAGAAGGAGAAGGACGCAGCGGCAGTCGTTTGCCCCGAGATCTTGGAGGCTCGTGCGAGCGCAGGTGGTGAATTTTCCCTCCGCCCCAGGTCCTGACCCGCGGAGGTCCCCAGACGTCCCCGGAGGCCTCTATAGGCTTCTAGATCCACAGGGAGGGCCAGAAACGCCCCCAAACTCACCCGACGCGCCTCGATCTTCGAGGGTATAGGCCAACGCTTCGCATCTTCGCTTCATCGCGATCACGTGGTCAGGAACGTTTGCTTCCGTAGCGTGTCGCGTCGCCGTCTCTGGCGCACAGCGATTCTGCGAGGCGCGATCAGCACGTCCGAGTCCCCAAGCCGCGTCGCCGGTTTCGTCGCACAGCAACTCGGCGAGGCGCGCTGAGCACGTCCGAGTCCCTAAGCATCAGCGTTCCGAGCTTACCCGCGTCTCCCGTCCCACGGAGCCGAGGGAGACACACTCAGCTTGCGGGGCGCAGCGTGTCGCAGGGGCCATCGCCGTGGCGGCCTGAGCTGCAGAGCCTCACCGTTATGCGCAGAGGGCGGGATGGCGTGGCCCCGCGGCCCGACGCCTGGGTGCCCGCCCGAGGCCAGGGGGGCATCCCGGGCAGCGGGGCTCCTTTCGCCTCGTCCTCTCTCCTCCTGCTCTTGCTCCTCCTCCTCCTCCTCCTCCTCCTCCTCCTCCTCCTCCTCCTCCTCCTCCCCCTCCCCCGCGCCCTCAGCATCCTCCCCACTTCCTCCTGTACCTTTCCTCGTCCTCGCCCTCGTCCCCCTCACTCCTCCTCCCCACCTCCCTCCTCACCCCTACTCGTCCTTGTCCTCTTCCTACCTCGTCCTCCCTCCTCGTCGTTCCTTATTCCCATTCCTGTTCCTATTCCTTCCTTCCCTCCTTTCCTCCATCCGTCCTCATCCCACCCCACCCCCCGCGGCACCTCCTGCCGCCAGGGCGGGGGCTACGGCGGCAAGGCCGGCGGCTACGGGGCGGCCCCCCCAGGCGCGGCCCTGCGGCCGCGCCGCTCCTGCCGCCCCGATTACGAGGCAGAAGAGAGGAGGAAGGAGGGAGAGAAGCAGGGAAGAGGAGGAGGGAGGAGGAGGAGGAGGAGGAGGCGGAGGAGGAGGTGGAGAAGGATGAACAGGAGGAGGAGGATGCTTTGGAGGGTGAGGATGCTTTGGAGGAGGAGGAGGAGGAGGAGGAGGAGGAGGAGAAGGAGGAGGAGGAGGACCAGTGTGATCCCAGGAATCATCAACGATGTTGGAATACTCTCTTCTTTCATGTTCCCTCTTCATAGACCCCTGCACGGACTAATTTCCAGTAAGGGAAGTGCCCCGTTGGGAGGCAACCGCTTGAAGATCCTGAAGCGTGCCAGAACACCACTCGCTCTCGAAACTTTACCGCCATGGATCAGCCTGACTGTAACGTCTGGGTGATGCTGAGTCGTGCCGGAAAATCATGTTTGGGACCTCGGGGAATCCGGGGAATTCCGGTTATTTTTCAAGACGAGTGTGCGCGGCGCTAAGACCATGGCCACATTAAAAAAAGAAGCCGGTCTCCATCCGTGACACTTTTCTGCAATTTAAGAATGCACGCGGCGCTAAGGCGAGAGTTTCATTTTGAAAACGGTCCGCCCTCATTCCGGGACATTCTTGCAATTTTAAGAAGTGACTGTGCGGCGCTCAGGCGAGAGCCACTTTTGGAAGCGGCCCGCCCTCCATCTGTGAAGCGTTTGTCAAGTTCCAAGCTTCAGGATCATAAATGGTAAGAATGTCTCAGGCGAGACGCTGGGCCCGCCTATCCGACCAGCCTCGGGGCGCGACAGGGAGGAGTTTCTTATAAGGAAGCGGTTGAGGAGGAGGAGGAGGAGGAGGAGGAGGAGGGGGAAGAACACCAGTGTAAACCCAAGAATCCAATAATCATCGGCGATGCCGCAACAACCCTCTTTCCAAGTTTCTTCCTTGTAGAGTCATGCTCGTATTCAGTGAGGGAAGTGCCCCGTTGGAAGACAGCTGTCGAAAGAGCACTTTTTGCCGCTGCTGGAGGGGGCCCGCAGGCGGTTCAACCCCGCCGCAGCGCCGCGCGTCTCCTCTCCTCCTCCTCCTCCTCTCCTTCTTGTCCTCCTCCTCCTCCTCCTCCTTCGCCTCCCTCCTCCTTCGCCTCCCTCCTCCCTCCACTTCCTGATCATCCTCTTCCCTTTTCCCATCACCACAAATACCATTATCATTATCATCACCGCCTCGCTACAGCCATCACACGTTTCGTGGCCCCCGAGGAGCTCCACCGAAGGCCCCAGCGCCAGCGTTCGCATACCGCCTCACAGACCATTTCGGCAGACCCCTCACACGTTTCGCCAGGCCCAAGGGAGCTCCACCGAAGGCCCCAGTGGCAGCGTGCGCATACCGCACCCCGACCATATCGGCAGACCCCTCACTCGCTTCGCGGCGCCCAAGGAGCTTCACCGAAGGCCCCAGTGGCAGCGTTCGCATACCGCCCCTGGACCATTTCGGCACACCCATCACACGTTTCGTGGCCCCAGGAGAGCTTCGCCGAAGGCCCCAACGGCAGCGTGCGCATACCGCCCCTTTGCCATTTCGGCACACCCCTCACACGTTTCGCGGGCCCCAGGGGAGCTTCACCGAAGGCCCCAGCGCCAGCGTTCGCATACCGCCCTCCGACGATTTCGGCAGACCCCTCGCACGTTTCGCGGCCCCCAGGGAGCTCCACCGAAGGCCTCAGTGGCAGCGTTCGCATACCGCTTCCCGACAAATTCGGCACACCACTCACACGTTTCGTGGTTTCCAGCGAGCTCCACCGAAGGCTCCAGCGCCAGCGTTCGCATACTGCACCCTGGCTATTTTTGCGCACCCCTCACACGTTTCGCGGGCCCTAGGGAGCTCCACCGAAGGCCCCAGTGGCAGCGTTCGCATACAGCACCCGACCGTTTCGGCACACCCCTCAATCGTTTCGTGGCCCCTAGGGAGCTCCACCGAATACCTCAGTGGCAGCGTTCGCCTACCGTCCCCGGACCGTTTTCCAGACACCCCTCACACGCTTCGGGGCACCATAGGCAGTTCCCTTGCGATTCGTTCAGGCTTGCTGCAGATACCTCCACGTATTCTCGCATAGTGAGCGGTCCTGCTTGTAGTAGCTTTGTGTTTAAAATGGGGGTTGGGTTCTTCGCCAGGCTAATTGTATTGTCACAGCGCGGACCTTCAGAGGTCTCGACGCCTCTTCCCTGGGCCCGTGCTTCATTCTGAGTCTTTCCCGCGGAGTTCCGAGGCCTGGTGAGGGCCCCGGAACAAAGGCCTTCGTCGTGCCTTACTCACAGCGCCAGGAGGTCTGGAGAGGGGCCAGGGTGTGGGAAGGGAAGGCTTGGAACGCTCTGGGAAGAGAGAGAGAGAGAGAGAGAGAGAGTGGGGAAGGCGATGGGGTGAGGGAGAGGTGGGAGCCATAGAGGGAATTGGGCGACGAGGGCAGGGGGAGGAGAGAACGGAGAGGGTAAGGCCGTGGGGGAGAGTAGACGATCCTCAGGGCGCTTGTTCGCCCAGTGACACTGGGCACACAGTGTGCGTGTGTGTGTGGCGTCTGAGAGCACCGCTCTCTGGCCCCTTCTCCTGGCCACCCTGACCCGCTTTGGACGCCCGAAACGGTTAGGGAAGACATGGGTACAATGCCCAACAACAAAGGTTGTCCCAAACAGACGGCGACCGCTGTTGGGCAGGCGGCTGTTTTTGTCTGCAGTGGGCAACGTCCGCGGCGGCGCGGACCAGCGAGCTCTATCCAAGATGAACAGGCACTGCTGTTGGGCATCGTAACCCATTCTTTCTGTGCAGTCGGCCCTGATTAGTAGGTCGACCCTGCCAAATCAAGGGTACCCTTGTGTCCTGTGTCTCTCGACCCATGCCTCCTACATTCCTATGGCAGTGTGCCTCTCGGAAGGGTCTTGTGTCCTCTCGCGTGTCCTCTCCACTCAAGTCTGGCTGTACCCATTCTTTCCGTACCCCTTTCGATCGCCCCGAGGCCCGTTGTCGGGTCTGCCGCCGCGCTCTGCCGCCCAGGGCTCTGCGAGCCGCCGCCCCTCTCTCCCGAGGCCCTCCGCCGGCGGCACCCTGCGCCGATGCTCGTGCTCGGGCTGAGCGCCACCGCTCCACAGCGCTCCACGCCGCCCGCAGGTCGGCAGCGACGGCCTCCCCGCGAGGCTGCTGGCGTGCTCTAGACGTAAGTCGGGCACGTCCCTCTGCAGGAGGAACATTCCCACATAGTCAAAAAAATAGCCAGGGGGCGATTTCCCTCCTGTTTTTGACGATGTCTGAGTATTTCTGTGACCATGTCTTATTTTTCCTCCAAGATCTGCCTGTAGGGGGACATACCCGACCTAACTCTCGACCCCCGCGACTCTGTGCGCGGGCCAGCCTCGCAGCCGCCTCGCGGCTCACTCCGGGCTTCCTTTCGCGGCTTCGTCGCGCCGCCGCTGCAGGCCCCGCCTGTCGACGTCCGGTGACTGCTGCCGTCCCCTGACGCCGTGGTGTCGCGTTTGGCGCCGCCGCCCGCTGCCCCCCGCCTCTGCTGCCGCCACTGCTGCCGCTCTGCTGCCCAGCGAGGGGCTCGGCCTGTTCGGCGCCCGTTCGGCGCCGCCGCCCGCCGCTCCCGGCCCACTGCCCGCTGCCCTCCGCCACTGCCCCGTGAGGGGCCGCCGCCTTCCCCCCTCGCACTTGCCGGGTGTCCAGGCCGACCCCTGGGAGCCCCGCGTAGCCTGGCGTGGGCCCACTTCGCTTGGCTGCGCAAGCCTGGAGCACTCGAAGTGGCTTCCGCCCCAGCTGCGTGCGTGTCTGTGTGTGGGTTCAGACCCACGGATCGCACGAGGGCTCTGTCGGCCATCATTACGCAACCCGTGCTGTGTTGGAGGACTTCGGTGGATGAGCTCGCGTTGGCACCAGCACACGCTCTGAGGACCATCGGGGGACGAACAGGGGACGAGGGATGGGGAGGCATGGCGGAGGGAAGGGGAGGGGAGGGGAGAGGGAGCCAGGGCGGAGGGAAGGGCAGCGCGGAGGTGCCCGACAGGGGGGCCACACACGCTCGAAAACCATCCCCTCGACTTTCGAGGGTCGGGGACGAAACCCCCTCCTCCTCCTCCTCCTCCTCCTCCTCCTCCTCCTCCTCCTCCTCCTCCTCCTCCTCCCCCTCCTCCTCCTCCTCCCCCTCCTCCCCCCCTCCTCCTCCTCCTCCTCCTCCTCCTCCTCCTCCTCCTCCTCCTCCTCCTCCTCCTCCTCCTCCTCCTCCCCCTCCTCCTCCTCCTCCTCCTCCTCCTCCCCTCCTCCTCCTCCCCCCCCTCCTCCTCCTCCTCCTCCTCCTCCTCCTCCTCCTCCTCCTCCCCCTCCTCCTCCTCCCTCTCCTCCTCCTCCTCCTCCTCCCCCTCCTCCTCCCCTCCGCCTCCTCCTCCTCCTCCTCCTCCCCTCCCCCCCCCCTCCCCTTCCTGCTCCTCCTCTTCCTCCTCCTCCTCCTCCTCCTCCTCCTACTCCTCCTCATCCTCCTCATCCTCCGGTGGCGAGGATCGGCGGCGAGCGGGGGGGTATGTGAGAAGGGGCGGGCCTTCTCAGAAGGCTCGGAAATCCCCCGGCCTTCTGGTGCAGTCTTCCAAGCCTTCCCCGAAGACGCAGACAGAAAACTTCTCAGGAGGCCAGTGGGCTTCTGAGAAGCCCCGCCACGTTCTGAGAGGGCCTTCTCCCTCTCGCTTCCCCCCCCTCGCTCGCCGCCGAGATAGGGGGGGGGGCTGGGCCGGAGGTCGGGGCAGCGGAGGGCTCCCCCGAAGCGTCTCGCCCGCCGCGCCACAGCGTACGGGGGCGCGTACGGCGCGGCGGTCAGCACGGCCGCCAAGGGCGGCTACGGCGCGAAGCAGAGGCCGAGCTACGGCTCGCCGGCGGGGACTGGGGGAGAGAGAGGGAAGGGAGGGAGAGAGGGAGGTCAAGGGAGGGGAAGGGAAATCAAGGGAAGGGACAGGAGGAAGGACGGGAGGGGAGGGGAGGGGAGGTGAGGGGAGAGGAGGGAGGCAAGCTAGGTGCGCTAGCGTCACATCTGACGTCCTACCCCTCCCTCCCATCATGCCATGGCGTAGGGCTCCTATCTCTTCGCGCAGTGGGATGTCGAGCGTCGAGCAGGGCAATGATCCCAAGAGCGTACGCGATGGATGGAAACGCATGGCGTAGGAGATCGTGGCATTGCGTAGTGAAGCATTGCATCACAAAGCATAGCAACGCAACGCATGGCATCGCACAGCGGTGCACAACACAGCATCACATCGCTACAGCGACAGCGCTACTTGGAAGAACCGAATACGCCAGTGCTGCTGCGGGAACACGATTCGGAACAGCCGGAGGCGCGGGAACGAGGCCAGCGCTGCAGCGGGAGCACGATTTTGAATGATCGAAGCTCAGAAATGAGGGCGGCGCTGCAGCCGGAGCACCAGTTGGAGGAACCGGAAACGGCCGGATAGAACAAATACATAGGACATAGGAGAAGCCAATTCATGACATCCTTTGTGTGCAAGACATTACGCAAAGAGGACGGGAGACTCCAGACAGAGTCAGGGGAAACAGGAGAGTAGTATTCATATTGTGTAAGTGTCAAAGAGGGAGCGAGGAGAAGGAGGAGTAGATGGAGGAGGAGGTGGAGGAGGAGGAGGAGGAGGAGGGGGAGGCGGAGGAGGAGGAGGGAGGGAGGCGGGCCCTCAGCGGGCCCAGAAGCGTCCAACATAGCTTTGCAAATGACCCAACCATCTGCAGTTGTGAGTAGTGCAAAGGAGGGGGGCGAGCAAACTAAAGAGTAAGACAAGAAAGGGAGGGAGTCATGCAGGTGAAACGAGGAAGGGGGTGAGCAGATTACGCATAGCGTCGGACTCGGCCCTCTTCTCTTATGCAGCGCGCCACAGAAATGACGGGACGCAGGGCAGACTGGATAGGTGAAGGCGGACGGATCAGACGCGCCTTGTAGGGCGAGAAAGCTCGATCTGCATGACTGCTTGTTTAGACCTCGCATTGCTGAGGCACGGGGATCGCGCAGTCACTGGAACGAGCTAAGGCAAGATGGGCAGCAACTCAAGCGAGCACAGTGGGGAAGGGGTAGGCACTTGGGCCGGAAGCCACATGTATGTTTTTGTGTCTGGACCCATAGCGAGCCATCCAGGTTGCAACCCAAAGGCTCTGTCGCCTGAAAACCAATGAGGAGTTCACCGACATGCGCTAGCCATTCCTCTTGGGATTCTGGCGGCACGCGGGATGTGTCCTAATCTTCCAGCAAGCAGATCAATTTCCGCGAGTATTCTTTCCGACGGAATTGCCGCGAGCATCGTTGTGAGCACAGGGTCTGCGCGAAAGCGGCTGGAGAGTTCCCGCAGACGCGCAGCAGTCAACCTGGGGGAATTCCGTCCACGCGCGAGAGTCCATGACATCGCTGGTGTGTGAAATGACTAGGGGGCTGGGGGGAAAGCGAGGAGTCCCCTTCCAAGCGCGACGGTCATCCCGCCATAGCAGCAATCTTTTCGACACTCGAGGGCAATCCTCGGCTTGCGAGAAGCTATTGTGCGGTCGCCTCCAAAGCCCCAGAACGCGTTGCGAGGGCGCTTGTCACGCACGCGCCGACGGCGGATACCCAGCGCGGCGGCTATAGTCTCTGGTCGATGCATTGCTGAGCAACCCGCTTGCCGGCAGCGTCGCGTCAATCCTCTGGACTGCGGGCCCCAGAAGGCCTGCGCGGCAATTTGCTACGAAAAGTGTGAGGGGTGTGCCGGCAAGCGGAGACGCATTCGAACATCGCCATTGGGGCCTTCGGTGGAATTTCCGATGGAGCCACGAAGCGTGTGAGTGGTGTGCCGAAGTGAGAGGCGCGAGCGCGTGCGATCACCGCCACCGGTGCCTTCGGTGGAGCCCCCCACGGGGCCACGCCACGTATGAGGGTGTGCCGGAATGAGGTGCGGGGACGCGTACAAACCCTGTCCCCAAGACCGTCGCCTTCGGTGGAGCTCCCCATGGGGCCACGACACGTGTGAGGGCGTGCCGGCATAATTGGCGGGGGCGCACGCGAACCCTGCCACTCGGGGCTCTCGGTGACAATCCCTATGGGGGCCACGAAGCGTACGAGGGGTTGCCGAAATGATAGGCGGGGGCGCGTGCGAGCCCCCCTTCTCTTCCTCCTCCCCTTCCGTCGAGTAGGGGATCAACTACAGAATTGATTTACCCCGAAACTGTCTCTCGTCGAATCCATGACGCATGCTACGTCTTTTTGGTAGATTCGACGAGGAAGTCAAGTTTGGGGTACGTCAGTTCTGTAGTCCATCCCCTGCTGGGCTCCTCCTTCCCTCTGCCCGCCTGTGGAACGGCGCCCTCTCTGCGGCCGTCTCGCGTGCTGTTCTGCGCGCTCCGCCTGCCTGCCGTCTCCTCCCCTCGGCCGTCCCCGCGTCTTCGCCCGCCTCCTCTGCGGTGGTAACTCTGCCGCCTCGCAGCCCGGCTTGCTGTGGCCCTCCCGCGCCGAGCGATCGACAGCGCCGCAACAGCACATATGGAATGGCGCCCTGCACAGGTATGTTCCGCGTTTTTTGTTTCTTCGTTCTCTCTCTCTCTCTCTTTCTCTGTCTCTCTCTCTCTCTCTCTTTTTTCGTTTTCTTATTTCTCTCTCTCTCACGCACCGTCTGGTGCAAGGCGTACTTGACTTGACTTCTCTCTCTCTCTCTATCTCTCCCCACCCACCCTGAATAATGCATGGGTTGCCCATCTTAATGTTTCCGTGCTGTCCAGTTTGATGACTGATCTCATTCGCTTCAGCTGTTTTGGAGCGAGCCGTGTACCCAGACCGCGCTCACCGTACACAGGCTTTGCGGTTCTATCTAGGAGTTCTAGATACAGCAGAGAGATTCGGTTTTGCTCAGAGAAAGATCGCAGGTCGGGACTCCCTCTCTCTCTCTCTCTCTCCCATGAGCTGCTCCCCGTCATTCTGACCCTCTGGGACCCCCCCAACCATCTTCTTCATTCCACAATAACGCAATACGAATACTGCTCTCATCTCTCCCCTGACTCTGTCTGGAGAGTCTCCCGTCCTCTCCGCGTATTGTTTTTTACAGAGGATTTCACCGGTTGCTTCTGTCCGGCGTATTTTCTCTATCCAGTCGTTTCTGGTTCTTCCAAAACGGTGCTCTCGCTGCAGCGCCTCTCTCATTTCCGCGTTTCGGTAATTCAAAATCGTGCTCCAGCTGCAGCGCTGGCCTCGTTCCCACGCGTCCAGGCGGCACTTGGCAGTCGAAAGCGCCCACGTCGGGCAGGCGCGGTTTCGGAAGACACGGGGCCAGCATTCCGGACAGGCCCTGTCCTCTCGTAGACGGGCCTCTGACCCTCCGAGTCATTTGGTGCCATGTCACGGCATGCAATGCGATGCTGTGTTGTGCACCGTTGTGCGAGACCATTTTTTGTGTTGCTATGCTTTGTAATGCAATGCTTCACTACGCAATGCCACGCCAGCTATGACATGCTATGCTCTGCCGTGCTCTTCTGCGCCATGCTGATCCATCCATCGCGTACCCACTCCGGATCATTGCCCTGCTCGACATCCGACTGTGTGAACAGATAGGAGATCAGCGCCATGCTAAGGGATAGGAGGGAGGGGTAGGACGTCAGATGTGACGCTAGCGCACCTAGCTTGCCATTCCCCTCTCTCCCTTCTCCCCCTCCCTCCTTGCTCCTCCCTCTCTCCCTCCTCCTCCCCCTCTGTTTTCCCGTCTCTCCCATCTCCTCCCCCTCCCTCTTCCCCACTCCTCCTTCCTCGCTCCCTCCCACCCGTTCGTCCTGACCCACTCTTCCTCCCCTTCGGAAGCGGGGCGTGGAAGGGAACAACTAAGAACGGAGGCGAGCGAACGCTCGAATACGATCCTGGAGCACGGCGGCTATTGCTAGAAGCGATGTTTCCTGGGCTTCGGATGCAACTATATCATCCCAATCTCTCTTCCTCGCCTCCTCTCGTCCTTCCTTCTTCTCATCTGGTTACTTTCTTAGCCCAGCAATTCTGGAGCTAGCAGGCTCCAGTGGCAGTCGACGCGGCTACTCTGAGGGGAGGGACGTTTCTGTAAAGGTCCCAAAGTGTGGTCTGCCTCGTCCTTCCCTCCTCCTCCTTTTCCTCCTCCTCCGTCTCCTCCTCTTCTTCCTCATCTTCAGCATTGGCCGTTGTGCACGTGATGGTGCAGTGCGGAAGCAGGTGGTCCTGCAGCCGTCGCCGCCGCCTGCTGCGATCTAGCGAGTTTCTGCATCCTTGTTGGTGTGTCTGCATGGGAGGTGATTGCGTGGAGGCCAACCCGTCCCGTCGCCATCCGCACAGCAGGATCGTGAGAGAGGGATGATCGTACCAGAGAGCCCAATCGCATATGCCCACCCTCTTGGGGTTGCCACCGGCCAGGCCTGCACCATCGTACACCACCCCCTTGCGACACGCGGACACGCGCGGCAGAAGTAGGCAGAAGATGGGAACTCGACGACAGGTGCCCTGAAGGCTCAACTGCCCAGAGGGCGCCCAAAGGACCTGGCAGGGACGAAAGAAAAAAGCAACATCACAGAGAGAGCAGTCATAGAAAGGCGGTCGTAGAGAAGCGTCACGATGTACACCTGTGCGAAGGAGGATTGTTGGTGCCAACCTATGTAGGAGAAGCACAGGATGTGCACCTGACGGCAACGACCGAGACAAATGACAAGACTGTGATAATGCATGAGAGAAGGAACATGTCGACGTACACCTGTGGGGAGGCGGAACTCTTCCCATTCGACCCGAGGGGCGCATTCCAATAGAGAAATGACATATGCCACAAACGCGGGCCGATGAGCGGGAACAACGTAAACGCAGTGAGCTCGACCATTGGGGTCCTTAGGGCTCAGCTGCCCTGAGCGGAAGCGCCAGCACCGAAAGCACCGCCACCCTCCCGACGCGGAACGGCACGGAAAAACATATAAAAGAGGAGGGAGAGAGAGAGGAAGGATGAGCAGACCTTGCGATCAACAGGCATACACCCCGAAGGATGCGAGCCTTCACGCGGGTCGAACTCTGGCCACCACGAGCGTACCGTGCTCATGCTCTTGTGAAGAGGTGCCAGTTTGCAGGGCTGTGCCCCCCTGCTAGAGGATTCTGCAGGGCTGTGACCCCCCTGCTAGAGGTTTCGTACCTGACAGGGGAAGAAGACGAGAAAAGACGGAGGGACCAGACCCGACTCCAGGGAGACGCGGGGAGGAGGCTCCCACGACCCCCGGAGGCTGCGTGACCGGACGAGGGAGGAAGAAGGGGGGAAGGAGGAAAACTGCCCCCCCGATGGGAGACATCCGTGCCCATGCACCTGCAATGAGAAGAGGAATGAGAAGAGTAACCTGACTGCGACAGACACGACCCTCACCCGCCGATCAAATCATGAGGATGCACATGGCCCCCGCCGGCTTAGGGGCTACTCTTGACGATTGGGAGCGTAGATGATGGCAGAGTGCGAGGTCATGGGTCCGCATCGCCCTGATAAGGCACCTGCTCTAAGTCATGGAATTGTTTGCGCGTGCAGAAGTCGGCCCCTTCTTGCCCGGTGCGATTTGCGCCGTGCGACTTGCGTGCGGTCCAAACGGGCACGGAAGTCCTCAACCCGTGCCTGTTCAGCATCTCTCATTTTCGAGTCTCTTTTCGAGCCTGGGAGAGGTGACGCATACGTCCTGCATGAGGTCCGCCGCCTGCGAGGGCGGAATCGTAAGCCGAAGTCGGGTAGCCAGCTGGCCAGTCTGGGCCCGTACATCATGCAACTCTGGCAGGGCGTTGGAGTTCCGCAGCACGATCACAGAAACTCTTTCCGCAAGCAATGCACGCCCGCCCAGATGCGTCACGACGTCGAGCGATGGCCTGTTCGGCACGCACGGTATGCCGCACAAGGCAGGAGTGAAGGGAAGAGAGAGGCAAATGAGGGATGGTCACATGGAGGGGGCAGAGAAACATTAGATGGATGGAAAAAAAGCGAAAGGACAATGGATGCGTAGAGAACAAGCAAGCTAGCCTTGACAATGGGGGGACAATCGACGTATCTCTTCCGCGCAGTAAGCGTTGAAGATCGGCGTGTTGACCTATGTGGGTGTTGTCACCGACGCAGGTCAGGGAGCTGCCCAAGCAGGCAACTTCGCAAAGTTAGCTTCCTACCGAGACTGTCGATAACGGTCACATGGCCCAGAGGGTAAAGCAAACATGGCGGATAACTTGAGAACAGGATGATCGTGCCAGTGAGCCTATCCGCATATGCCCAACCCCTGGGGACAGCGCCCGCACTATGAGTCGGGATGCCCCCCCAGAGACGCGTGCGCCCTGAGGGTAGCGCAAAGTGAATGAGGTGAGAGGTAGAGCTATGCAGGTGTTGCCACCGGCCAGGCCTGCGCTGTCGTATACAGATCGAGAGGGTGCGACGGCCTACAAGTCACACGTGTTGGCCAAGTGACCTGAGCATTGCATGGCGTTCTTCTCAGTGCCTGGGCGGTACACGACACAGGATCTCTGCCACACTGGTGACGAACATCAAGAACAACGTCCTGGCAAGGCGGGGGCGTGCCAAGCGGACAGCGATTCTGTGGCGATACACGATCGCTGAAAATCTTTAGGCCCGACGAGGCTGCCGAGTGGAGAGCTCGTCTGGATGGAGGACGGAGCCTCTTCTGGTGACCCGGACGGGCGGCGGGGACATGCATTGCGAGGGTACCTTTGCCGAGTGGGGTTTCGGGGTGGGTACTCTCGTTCGCTGTCTCCGCAGCCCCGTCTTCTCTTCCTCCTTCTCCTCCCTCTCCTCCTCAACCTGCTCCCCCTCCTCCTCTCACTCCCTCCCCCCCCCTCCTCCTCCTGTCCGTAGCCATTTTGGCTCAAGTCCGTAGCGTTTGTGCTCAGGACCTGACCTTACTGGCAAGGGGGATTCAGCGGCCCCCACCTTCGCACCTCCTCTGCCAGGTCAGACGAGGTTTTTCTCTTGTGAGCTCCTGGCTGGAGCAACTTTCTGTTTCCACTAGGCTGTGCGCTGGTGGCATCCCACATCATTCGCCATTCCCGTGCCATGGCGTTCCAGCGTGGTGGGATGGCTCCAGCCTGGGGTGGAGCGGCTCAGCAATGGCCGCCTCGCCAGGCCTTTCAGCCACCCAATGGAGGAGGGGGCTACATCGCGTCCAACCCCTTCGCCCGTGTCCCTGTCCCGCCAGGTCAGCTCTACGGAGGTTTTGGGCAAGGCGGCAACGGTGGAGGTGGTCCGCAATTCTACCCTCGGCAAGGGCGGTGGAAGTGCTCTCAATGCCCTTGCAGGAAGAACGCAGCGACATCCTCTTCTTGTCGACGCTGTGGTGCCCCACGCGCGGAGCCTGGGCATGCGTCGCGGCCCCCTCCAGGAGTTTGGTCGCCAGGCCAGGCTCCTCATGGTGCTGGTGGTGCTCTTCGTCCTGTTCAGCCTGGACTTCAGCCGCAGCCAGGGCAGTCGTCGCATGTGGACATCAAGGGCTTGGATGACACCGAGGTCGAGTCCCTCATCGCTATGCTCAAGAAGACTGGCGATACCACCACGGCCTCTCAGTACGTCAAGGTGCTTGAGGCCAGGTGGTCCGCCAACAAGCAGCAGCCCATCCAGCAGCAGATCAACGAGGCATTCAACTCTCTACGCGCACATGAATATAGCCTGGCCAAGGCAGTCAAGCGTTTCGACGAGATGCAGGTTGCCCTCGGCGAACAGCGCGAACGAGTTGGCCGTTTGCAGGCTGAATGTCAGGCAGCAGACGATCTACATAAGCAATTGGTTGCACAATTACATTCCGAACTTTCTGAACCCGTTCCCGAGGTCAAGGAGCAGGCCAAGGACTCTCCTTGGTCTGTCCGAGCCATCCTGTCTGGGAAGTTCGAGGAGATCCCCATCACCCTTGGCGGCTTGGTGGATGACCAGGATGAGGGTGCCCTCGATGTTTCTGACGAGGACAAAGAGACGGCCCAGAACCTGGCCACAGAGCTCAAGAAGAGCCTGCAGGAGGCCACCGCGACCTTGTCCAAGGAGGCTTTGGAGAAGACCAACAAGGCCAAGGAGGACCACAAGGCGCTGCTCACTCGTCTCCAGGCTAAGAGGCGACGGACAGACGTTTCTGAGGGCGGCGCAGGTGGTAACGGAGCTACCGCAGCTGCACCCGAGGCCCCCGAACCTGCCCAAGCAGCCTCTTCCAGAGCCCCTGCCAGCGCTGCCGAGGCGACTGCTGGCTCAGCAGAGGCTTCGTCGGTTCGGCGGCGGGCTGCAGAGATCGCTGGGGGCGGTCCTGCGGCTGGGGCGGCGGCACCAACGCCTAGCCTTTAGCACTCTTAAGGGCAAGGTGGGGAATGTCTTGGGTAAGACTTCGGGTAATTTTTGGAGGGCTTTAAGTTACGTGACAGCACGTGCCAAAGCCATCATGACCCCTTCTGGCCTTCAGTGCTCCACTACAGGCCCCTGCGCGCCCGTAGGCACCAGTTTGGTAGAGTCCCCTCTTCTAGGGGCCCCGCAAGACCCGTCTCAGATTTCCCTGACCTTCACGACGGCTAACGTCTCAGGGTGGGGGTCGGGTCGAACCTTTTTAAGGAGTAGTTTGTCCCGTGTGGTTCTCATGCAGGAACACCACCAGCGCACTCGTGAGGAAGTCGACCAAGCGTCAGCCTGGGCCCTCCGTCAGGGTTGGAAGAGCCTCTGGGGCCCCGCTCTTGCTGGACCCAATGGTGGCACTCGTGGAGGTGTAGCTCTCTTTGTCAATGCCTACTTGGGATTGCACCCGCTGGGGCCTCATGATCTTTTTCGGGGCCGCTTTTGCACGGCATCGGTCTCTCTGGCGAGAATTTAGAGGTGCTGGGATCCGTGGGCGAGTTCGTGTCGCCTCCAGGTTTGCCATGGCTCGTGGGAGGGGATTCAACGTGGAGCCCCCGAACGTCCAGGACTCCGAGTTCCTTGACGCTGCACTTGGCAAGCTTCTTGCACCAGATGTTGTCGGCACCTGTTCTACTACAGGGGGCATGCGATTAAACGATTACTTCCTGGTGAGCCGCGGCCTTAGCAAAGCCACTAAATCGGTCGTCGTCGTCGGAGACTCTGATCTCACCCCGCATTCCCCTGTCTGCCTCACCCTTTTCCCCCAGCTCGCCACTTTACGTGCCATGGCTTTCCTGAAGCCGCCACGGGTAGGCCTCGATCGAGTGATTGGTCCTGCTCGCGCGCCGTCCGCTGATTTTGGCCGACTGAGGAAAGAGCTCGAGCAGGCTGTGCACGTTGCTCGTCAGGGGAAGGGGGCTGCCACCAGAGATAATCTCACTCGGATTTATGGGTCCTGGGCCGATCTTGCGGAAAACGAGCTTGTCGAGCTCACGGGCGCCTCTTTGCCTGTCCTGGGAACCCGCAGTCAAAATCCGCGTGTCGTTTGGAAATCTCTCACGGATTTGGACATGAAAGGCCCTCGTCATCCCGAGCTGTGCGCCATCCGTTGGCTGCATTCGAAGTTTACTGTTTTCTGCCATCTGCTTCAGCAAGATTGTCGTGAGACTGATTTCGAAGCTGCGAAGTCTGGCGTTTTTGCCCTCCCTGCTCAGGTTTTGGCCAGCAGAGGCAAGCATGAATCGCTCTTTCGACAGGTGCACGACTTTGCCTGTATTGCGGCTCGAGCCGCTCGGTCAGTTCCAGATGCTAAGGACCTGCTCGCTCGCATCGCGTCCGCCGTCGAGGCGGAGTCTTTAGTTGCTAAGGCTAACGGTCGAGCCTCCTGGAGTCAGTGGATTAAGTGTGGAGTGGAGAAAGGAGCCAGACGGGCTCGCATGGTCACTAGAGCCCCCAGGGTTTGGTCCCCCACTGCCGCTCTTGCTGACGATAAAGTCATTGTTTCTGACCCCCTCTCGATCTTGTCTTCTGAGGCGACCCGTTTCCAGGCTTTGTGGCGAGCGGAGCTCTCGGCCCCTCCCCCGCCTGGCGATTTCGAGCCGGCCCCCGAGATCGATCTGCCTGATGTTAGCACTCTCCGAGAAACTAGCAAGGGGTATAAGGAGGGCTCGGCCGTCAGCGCGGATGGCTTTCACCTCCGCCACTTTAGCTATCTTTCGGACGATGCCCTGGAGTGTCTCCTGGAACTTTACCGCATCATGGAAATCAGCTCGATTATGCCAACCCAGTTGTACATCATCGTTTCTATGTTACTTCCCAAACCTGTTGGAGGGTACCGACCCATCGGCATTTTTACTGGTCCTTATAGGCTCTGGGGGAGGTTGCGGAGGCCTCTTGCCCAGGCCTGGGAGGTTAATAACTTTCGGCCCTGGTTCGCGGCTGGGAAATGCATGGGGGCCATTGATACCGTCTGGCGGCAAGCCCTCCTCTCTGAGGGGGGCGTTGCTGGTGGACAGTATGCTGCGACCCTCCTTTGGGATTCCCTCAAGTACTACGAAAGTCTCAACGTTGCGCAAGTGATAGGTGCCACGCTCACGGTTTTCCTCAGGCCATTTCCAGATTGGCCTGTTATGCATATTATGCTCCTCGTCATCTCTCGCTTGATGGCAACGTTTCGGCAGCTCTGTATGCTATCCATGGTCTGGTGGCGGGATGTCCCTTCGCTACCACCTTCGTCAGAGTGAATTCTTTAGCTGGGCTGGACAGTATAGTGTGGCCGCCGTGTATTACCTATTCGTTGTGCATAGACGACAATGGGCTGCACGCCGTCGGGTCGTTCAATGAAGTCGTCCACGGAATAGTCGACAGCAGTCTGCAACTCAAGAGGGTAGTTGTTGAGGACATCGGGGCCGCCTTAGCTGAGGACAAGGCATGCCTCATGACCTCCAGCAAGCTCGTGGGGCAAGCCATTCAGCGGCGTCTCGGATCCGCTTTGACTGGCCCGATCGTTTGCGCTGCTCCCAACCCTGGTGCCGATGACAGCGTCGGCAAGCCGCTCAGGCACAAGGGCTTTGACTCCAAGGCCAAGCGCAGACGTTCTGGTGCTCGGGCTAGGGCTAAACGAAACCATAAGTTACAAAAGACTCTGGGGCGTAAGTGCAGGAATTTGTGGGTCGCGGGCCCGATGCCTGCTGCTACTTATGCCTCCGAAGTGCACGGCATCAGTGATGGAGAACTCCTTCGCCTCAGACGCAGTTTCGCTTCTGCGTTGAAACCCAGCGCTGGGGACAGGAGCCTTTCGATTTTATTGCTTCTCGAGGAGGACCCCACTTGGCTCATTCAAGTTTCCCCCATCCTGCGTTGGGCTAAAGAAATATGGGACACTCGAATGCGCGTTCACCCCTCCACTTTGAGTTTCCAGCAATTGAGGTCCGCGTTCGACAAGGTTTTTGCCCAGCCCTGGAAAACTTGGCGATCCGTTGCTGGCCCCGTTTCGGCCCTGCGGTATCCCCTTCGTCGCCTTGGCTGGACGGCTAAGAATTTCGCCACTCTGGTGACTGACCAAGGCCATGAGTTTTCTCTTGTGTTATTGTCACCAGGCATGTTGAGGCTCCAGCCTAAGGATGCGGTGCTTCGGCAACTCGAACGACGCATTGGAGAACGTCATGGTTTTCTTGATAGGGTTTGTTTTGATATTGTTGCTTGGCACTTGCGGTCCAAAAAGAACACTCCGTTGGAGAAGGGGGCTCTTCGGGCGGTGGCGTCTGGGGCCCTTTGGACCCGTGTGTATGCCCTCGGGAAGGGCTATCAATATCCTGTTGAGTGTCCTTGGGGCTGCGGGTGCCGCGACACGTTGTATCACAGGATATGGAAATGTCATGGTCTTGCCGAAGAACGTCTCGAGCTTGTCGGCCGAGAAATCCTCGAAAGCATCGACGGCCATATTACGAATCGGAATCTACTGTTCTCGGTCACTCGTGGAGGTTTACCACATCCTGGGGACGTCCATCCAGGGCCTTTGGCGGCTGGGTCCTGGGTTGCCGAATGGTTCGTCGATCCTCCTGAAAACGAGTTTTCGCTGGAAGGTGACATTTTTTGTTGACGGCTCTTGCGCGCGGCATCCCATCCGAGAGCTTTGTCGCGCTGGATGGAGTTGCAATGCTTTTAAGAACGGGTTGCGCATTTGCGAGATCCGATGCCCTGTGCATCCGCCACTTCGTCAGTCACCTCAAGCGGCCGAATATTCAGCTTTTACTGGTTCAGTAATGTGCCTCAAGGGTCCTGCTTCCATTCTGTCTGATTGCGCCAATGTCGTGAACGATTACCACGCTGCGCCAGACTTGCACGCCCACTTTCGTAAGGCATATGCTGGGCATATCGTCCAGGCCAGGGCAGACGAAGCCCACAAGTTTTTGGAAAATGTGATCAAAGTCAAGGCCCATCTCTGTTTAAACGAGGCCGGCTTGTCTGATGATGAAATTTATCGCAGGACGGGGAACCATCTTGCGGATTTAGGCGCAAAGGCAGCGGTTTCGATGCATCCCATTGACCGCGATGTGCTTGATGAAACCGACTAGCGTATTCAATGCACTCATGCGTTTTGCAAGTTGGCGATGAAATTCTTGCCCCGTTTCCCCTCACTCAAGGAGCGCGGTGAAGTAGAGTATGTCAAGCCCGACCGCTCCAAGGCTGCTGCTGTGGCCTCAGACGTGTGCTCTTTTTCCAGGATCGGGGGATTCTGGCGGTGTACAGCCTGCTTCAAGGCATCCAGAATCAGTTTCACGTTCAAGCTCGGTGCGCGTCCCATTCCTCCGCCTAGGAAGTGCACAGGACCCGCCCCTGGACTGGATTTCGACAAAGTCCGAGCTAACAATCACTCGATTGTCGGCCTAGCTTGCTCTGGTCATATTCCACTTTGTATGTTTGCTTTCATTGCACGGCTCTGATTTCGACGGGCTCACCGCTCAAATCGAACCGGTTTTTGAAACGCTGCCCTGGCCCTGGGACCATGGACCCGCGGCAAAAATCCAAGTGGAAGAAGCTGCTGCAGGGATTTCACCCTCAGCACGACAAGTCCCAGGTCCGAGTGTATGTTGACGGTTTTTTTTTTCCAGGGCCCCTCCCATTGGAGAAGCAACTAGTTGTGACGATGGAGAGCTCGTGTCTGTTGCTGCTCCGACGGCTGTGGCTCCTGGCGAAGAGATTGGCACCGCGCAGGTGGGCCTCGGTATGCTGCCGCCACCAGCGCGCGCGTCTGCCGCTCCAGGCGCTGATGATCCCCATCAGTTACCGCCTGTTGCTGAGGCTCCTTTTGAAGGTTTCGAAGAGGAGGAGGACGCCTCCAAGTCTTTATTTGACTCACAGCCTGAAAGAGTCGTGGAGCCGTCGTCTTCGTCGTCTTCCCTCGGTCCTGCTGTGGAGTCAAAAGTCTTTTCACCCCCGAGCGGGTTTGATGCCTCTTGGGTTGCTCTCCGTCAGGTGCCAGCTGCTTTGGCAGATGAAGGCGTCCTGGAGCCCATTGTTGTTCCTGCTCGGTCGGCCTCCGCCCCAACCTTTCAAGCGAAAGTCAATAGAATGGTCCGAGCTGCTGGCGGTTGTCCTGTGGTTTCGTCTTCCTCGGACTCGGACTAGCATGTTGTTCCGTGTTGGACCCCTGACCCACGGGGTCGCAGAGGTCTCTCTCATTGTGTTTGTCCCTTTCTTCTTGCACGGCCCGATGCGTCTGGCCCTTTTGGCAGGCATCCGTGCAATACCCCGCATCTGGGGCGAGATCACCGGCCGTCCTGGCGCTAGCTGCACCAGGGGTTGGTGGTCTCGTCGTCCTTGTGTGGGTGGTCGATTTTTCTTTTCTTTTGCCATTTTGCCTATGCTTGGCTGTACACCTGGGGCGAGGACTTGTCGTCCAGGCGCATCAGCACCTGGGGCAGCCTCGTCGTCCTTGTGTTAGCCCTTATTCGTTTGGTTCGCACGTGTCCGCACGTGTGTCAGACACCCCACCTTCTGGGGGAAGTGTGCGCGTAGGTGATGGTTTTCTTGAGGGGAGCACGGGGGTGCATCTATCCCGACTGTCGCTCCCACGGCGTTGCTGTGGCCTGGTGAGTAGTCCCTGGCCCCATCGTCTGGCTTTCCTCTCGGTTCGTGTGCGTGCACGCGTGCGTTTCGTGCAGTGGGGCCCACACTTTTATTTCGGGTGCTATCGCCCCGTGGTCATGGGTTGGGGGTGTCGCTGCGGACAGGAGCTTGGCTCCCAGCCCCGACACACTCGCAGCCGTGGCCTTGTGTTTTCCGCATGTCCTTGGTGCAGTCGAGGGCTTACGGGCGCCGAGGCACATTCCACGGGCAGGATCTTGCGAACGGCATTCCTGCCCGCCTAACGCTGGTGGGTTCGTTGTCGCGCGCCCTCCTGTGTCGAGGGCCTCGTTGTCTTGTCCCGTGGGTGGACTGTGGCACTGTGCCCTGCCGTGCCTCTCTGGCCCTCGTCCAGGTGTAGCAGGGTCCCCTTGGTCCCTGTGTGCCTGTGAGGGGCCACACTGAGGTGGGTCTCTGTTGCCTGGTCTCGGTTAGCGCCCAGGCACACCCACCTCTCTGTCGCAGACGATTCCGTACCGACTGCTCAGTGCGGTTGGGTACGGCTGTGGCTGTTTCCCCTCAGGACCTCGCCCACCCTGAGTGGCGTAAGTGGGCTGCAGCACGGGGAAAAGAACGTCCTCCTCCTCCTCCTCACTCCTCCTCCTTCTCCTCCTCTTCTTCTTCCTCCTCCTCCTCCTCCTCCTCCTCCTCCTCCTCCTCCCCTTCTTTTCCTCTTCCCCCCCTTTCTCCCTCCGCCCTTTTCTCCTCCCCCCCTCTTCTCCCAACCCCTCCTCCTCCTCCTCCTCCTCCTCCTCCTCCTCCTCCTCCTCCTCCTCCTCCTCCTAGTACCATTTGGGCTCAACTCCGCATCGCTGGGCCGCGGCCGCGCCGCGCTCGCTGCGGGGCAATGCCAGGTGCGCTCTCGCAGCAGCGCGTCGCCGAGGAAGCAGCCCGCGGGGCGCTCCTGGCGACGCACGCCGCGGCGGGCCTCGCGGCGGGCCACTCCCAGTCGGGATTGCGCCTGCTGCGGGCCGCCGAGGGCCTGCTGCGCGCGGCGGTGGCGAGCTTTCGGGCTCCCGCCACGCCGCCGCCCGCGCCCGCGCCTGGCGCTGCTGCTGCCCCTGGGAGGCGGCGACGGCGACGGGGGCGTGGTGGTCGTGGCGGCGGCGCTGCGGGCTGCGGCGGGGCCGCGGCCGACGCTGCTCGCGCCGACGGCGGCGAGACGCGCGGTGACGCCGAGATGGACGGCGCCGTGGGGGGTGGTCGCAGGCCGCGGCGGCAGCGCCGCCCGCAGCCTGCCCCCGCGGGCCTCCGTCTCCTGGAGGTCGCTGCTGCGCCCGCTGCAGAGCCGGCTGAGATGCAAGAGGAGCTGGACGACGAGTGGGCGGACGGGCTGGTGGTGGGCCGCGGCCCCGGCGTGGCCCCGCCCGCTCCTCGACGGCAGATCCGCAGGACCGACACCGATGCGGTCGAGGTCTGGGGCGCGGCGGCGGCGGCGCGCGCGACGCCTGCTCTGGGAGCAGGCGGCGCCGCGGTCGCGGCCGAGTGCAGGGACACCTTCGCGGCGGACCTGCAGTCGCTCCAGGGCAACCTCGACCGCCTCGCTGCGGCCGGGCGGCCGCCTCCCTGAACGGCATGGGTAAGTCCGTCTCGGAGGTCGGCTTCCTCACGGTCGGGGGCCTTGCCTTCGGGCGGACCCCCGTGGCCAGGGGTCCTGGCCATGCGGTGCAGGACCCCTGAAGACGCGCGGCCGCGGCCGCGCGGCTCGGCGGAGCGAACCTTCGCCGTCGGCCTCGCGCTCTCTCTCTCCCTCCTCCTCCTCCTCCTCCTCCTCCTCCTCCTCCTCCTCCTCCTCCTCCTCCTCCTCCTCCTCCTCCATCCCACCCCTCCTTCTCCACTCGTCCGCCCGGGAGCGGGTGGGGGGAGGCCGCCGCGGCCGCGCCGTCCGCGAGGGCGCCCGCAGCGGGCTCGGCGGGCGCCGCTCCGCCGACGACGACGAGGACGACGAGGACGACGACGACGACGAGGAGGACGGCGGCGGCGACGGCGGCGACGGCGGCGACGGCGACGACAACCACGACGACGACGGGAGCAACGGGGCAATGAGTAGGAGGAGGAGGAGGAGGAGGAGGAGGAATGGGGGGAGATGAGGAAGGCAGGAGGGGGAGGATGATCGGGAGGGGTAGGAGGGAGGAGGGAAGAGGGAGGAGGAGGGGTTGAGGGATGAGGGAGGTGGAAGGATGATGATGAGGATGATGCTTCTGCTGCTGCTGCTGCTGCTGTAGGTGAGGATGAGGATGATGCTGATGCTGGTGCTGATGCTGATGGTGATAATGATGCTGATGAGGATGCTGATTCTACTGATGATGGTGCTGATAATGATGGTACTGGTGGTGACAATGCTGATGACGATAATGCTGCTGCTGATGCTGATCAGGCTGATGATGTTGATGGTGCCAGTGATGCTGCTGTTGATGCCGATGAGGATGATGGTGCTGATGGTGACGACGGTGATGATGTTGCGCATGGTGGTGATGATGCTGGTGATGGGGATGGTGATGGTGATGATAATGCCGATGATGCTGTTGATGATGGTGATGCTGATGCTGTTGAGGATGATGATGCTGACGATGATGCAGATGATGATGCTGATGATGCTGATGATGCTGATTATCATTATATTGCTAATGCTGCTGATGATGCGGATTCGGTTGGTGATGTTGATGTTGAGGGCGCTGGTGGTGCTGACGCTGGTGATGATGCTGGTGATGATAGTGATGATGGTGATGATACTGATTTTGATGATGCTGATGCTGGTGATGATGATGCTGAGACTGATGATGCTGCTGATGATGATGATGATGCTGAGGATACTGATATGTTTGACGTCGACTGCGGCGAGGATGATGATGACGAGGAGGCGTGAGAAGCGACAAGTCAGGAGGGAGGAGGGATGAGGGATGGAGCAGCAGGAAGGGGGCTTGGAATTGGAGTGCCCTACGATCTTACACGTGGTTTTGCAGGGCTCCTGCGGTAGAGTGTGAAGGGAGAGGGCGAATGAACATAAGGAGATGGTGGGAGTGGATGGGGGGGGAGTGAGCAGAAGGAGGAGGGGGTCTGGCTTGCTGGTGCGGACTGCGATGCGCGCAGTTCAGGCTGGCTGCTGCTGCTGTCGCGCCTGTGAACTCTTGCAGAGTCGGCGCTTTCGCTTGTTGCAGTTGGCCGAGCATTCCTCTCGCCACGGTGGTGTCGCGCGCTGTGCCCATTGGATTCGAGCCCGCAGAGGTGGCGAAGGGGCGGCACCAGCCAGGCGTCGCGCTGGCAGCAGCAATGGCGGCAGCCATCGGGAGCGTTCGGCAGGAAGCGCAGTCATCCCTCACATTCGCCCTCCATGCCCGCCTCCTTCCTTGTCAACTTGAACCTCTCATGAACAGTCAGCTGTTTAGATGCCCCACCCCCTGTTCGGGCTGTCACACCCGATCTCAACCCGAGCCTCTTCTGGAACGTGGCAATTCTGTATGTGGCTCCCCCTGCCTGGGCCGTGAAGCGTGGTTTCAGCTGAGCCCGCTCTGAACAGTACGTTCTTTCTGCTGAGAGCTGTTTGCGCAGAGCTGATGCCATGCCTTCCGAGCAGGCGTGATGCCGTCGACCACTGCGCGCCCAACAGCCCCCGACGAGGACTACCTCTTGGATGCGTGGGGGGCAGTGCGAATTACACAAAACATCTTTTACCGTCTGGCCGCTTCTGCTGGTGCATAGCTCGAGCCTGGGGCCGCAGATCCCCATCGGACTGACACGACAGACGACCTGAGAGTTGGACTTGAGCATCTCTGGGGCGAACGTGATGTCATGAGGCGATTCTCTCTGGATGCTTCCCCGTAATCTCGGGGTGCCTAGCGGCCCCCGTGCCAGGAGTCTGCGCAGCAGGGGAGGAGGAGGAGGAGGAGGAGGAGGAGGAGGAGGAGGAGGAGGAGGAGGAGGAGGAGGAGGAGGAGGAGGAGGAGTTCAAAGAAATCTGGGGACGTCTCGTGCTCAGGACTTCCTGCTCATCTGAGTCCCGACGCTACAGCCAAAATGGTGTCCGTTTTCTTATTCATTGTTTTGCCGTTCGGCGCGGGCCCTCGCACCCCCCCCTCCCCTCCCCCCCCAGTGGAGTAGATCTTGGCTGTTTTTGGCACCTGTTTCGAGCAGGTGGGGCCTCCTCACAGGACGCACTGCTGCAAACAGTCGCACTAAGCAGAGGTCCGGAGCCAGACCCCCGCCTCCCCCCCCCCTCTTCGCCCAATGTCACAACGCCGTATAAGAAGACGCTCACATGTTGAGATAAGGACCAGTTTGAGCTCAGGGGGGGCAGTGGTTCGCGGGCCGTCCCTGAGATCCAGCTCTGGGGACCTGTTCTTGGCCGAGGCTGGGCCTGGCCAGAGCAGCTTCGTTCCTTATATTGAGCGCTCCGTGCTTCCACCTCGTGCCACGAGGGCCGAGATCTGGCCCACGTCCGCGCCTCAGAGGTGAACCCCCGCTTGACCCCCTCCTGCCCAGCCCTACGAGGAGGAGAAGGAGGAGGAGAAGGAGGAGGAGGAGGAGGAGAAGCGAGGGAGGAGAAGGGAGGGAGGAGAAGGGAGGGAGGGAGGGAGGAAGGGAGGGAGGGAGGAGAAAGGAGGCGGAATCGAGGAGGAGAAGGCGATGATGATATACCGCACCTCTCGTCCCAAGCCAGTCCCTACAAGCAGTCTTGCGCACAGCACGATGCGTCCGCCCTCGAGAGACTGGCGCGCTCCCTATGGTCCCGCAAGACGGGCGGGAGCTCGGCTTTTGGCAGGAGCCGGTTGGGGGAGGAGGAGGAGGAGGAGGAGGAGGAAGAGGAGGGGGGGGGAGGAGGAGGAGGAAGGAGCTCGGCTTCGAGCCTATGAGGGGTGCGGCAAGGCCTGGCGGCGAAATTCGAGACCCACCCTCGCCGATCAACGATTCGGGCAACTCGATGGGCGGCGGTGGTAGGGCTCTGAATTCGTCGAGCACGTGGCGCAATCTGAGCACTGGCCACGCCTCCCATCGGTTCAGGAGAGCCGAGAAGTTCGTGGGGGGTTAGGGTTCGGATATCGCCACCTAAAGGTGGGGTCATGCAGTTCAAGGAAGTGCCCAGCGACAGCCGCGCTTTGGAAAAGGAAACGCCCTCCATCATCGCAGCAGCTCATGAACTGCCCTCCGCCCGTATACCTCTTACCAGGTAAAGAGTGGCGTGCCGGGCCCAAAGGCGAGAGTCCCTTTTGAAAAGGCCTCCATTCATGTAATTGCATGTTTGTTTTAAGATCGAGCGTGCGCGGAGCCAAGGCGAGGTCCTAGTTCGAAAGCGATCTGCCCTCCATCCAGAAACAGCTCGCTTTGTAAGACGAGTGTGCGTGGCGCCAAGACGAGGCCCCCATCTTGAAGACGATCAGCCCTGTTTCCGTGTGTATTTTTAAGTTCCGAGATCTTGCACAGTGAGCAACCCTTTGTTAGGATACCCGGTCGACCCTGACGGCACGTCTCGTGGTGCGACAGAGGAGTCATTCATCGGGAAGAGGGATAGATGAAGGAGGCGGAGGGGCACGAGTAGTATGAGGAGGAGAAGGAGGAGGAGAAGGAGACGGAGGAGGAGCAGGATGCTGTTGATACTGCTGATGATGCTGATGATGATAATGATGATGATGATGCTGCTGCTGAGGATGATGATGATGATGATGATGATGATGATGATGATGATGATGATGATGATGATGATGATGAGGATGATGATGATGCTGATGGTGATGATGATGATGCTGACGAGGATGATGATGATGATGATGATGCTGATGATGATGATGATGCTGATGATGATGATGATGATGATGATGACGATCATGATGATGATGCTGCTGATGATGCTGATGCTGCTGATGCTGCTGCTGATGATCTGCTGCTGATGATGAAGAGGAGGAGGCGTAGGAGGAGGAGGAAGAGGAGGAGGAAGAGGAGGAGGAGGGAGGAGGGAGGAGGGAGGAGGGAGGAGGGAGGGAGGAGGAGGAGGAGGAGGAGGAGGAGGAGGAGGAGGAGGAGGAGGAGGAGGAGGAAGGAGGAAGGAGGAGGAGGAGGAGGAGGAGGAGGAGGAGGAGGAGTTGGAGGTGGAGGAGGAGGAGGAGCGAGGAGGAGCGAGGAGGAGCGAGGTGGAGAGGAGCGAGGAGGTCAGGAGCGATGCCGCAGCTGCAGGAGGAGGAGGACGAGGAGCGATGAGCGAGGAGGCAGGAGGTGTAGCAACGGGGCAGGAGGAGGAGGAGGAGGAGGAGGAGGAGGAGGAGGACGAGGAGGAGGAGGAGGAGGAGGAGGAGGAGGAGGAGCAAAGAGGAACCATGAGCGAGAAGGCAGTTGGCAGGAGGAAGGCCCTGGTGCAGGCATGAGGCCCAGTGGGTGGGCGGAGCGCCCCGGCCGCGCACAAGAGCACGCGAGAGAGCGCCGCGTCGCGGAGCCAGGCGCCTGCCACTGGATCACCGTGGACGCGTCGTCCTCGTTGGTGGCCGCGGGTTTCCCGCAGGATCGCCGCCGTCGCCGCCGCCGCCGCCGTCGTCGTCGTCCTCCTCCTCCTTCTCCTCCTCCTCCTCCTCCTCCTCCTCCTCCTCCCCGTCCTCGTTCTCCTCGTTCTCGTCCTGCCCGTCGTCATCCTCCTCGTCCCCTCCCAACCCTCCTCCCTCCACCGTGGGACTTGTCCTTCTCATCGTCCTCGGTGCTCCTCGTGGTGCTCCTCCTCTGTCCCCTCGTCCCCTCCACTACCTCCTGTTCTTGCTCGCTCCTCTCCCGCCACCGAGAGAGGCGCAGGAGAGTCGTTGGGGCACTTTGTCGCGCAGCCTGAAGGCCAGTGGGAGAGTCCAACAAGGCGGGCTCCAGCTTAGCATCACTCGGACGTGTGCATTTTTTCCCGGCGAGGACCATCGAGGAGCAGCTTGGGTAATGCTGCGAGAAGCACGCGCGCAAGACACCAGAAACTGCACGGGGAGTGGACGTCCGAGCGATGGCAAGCCAGACGTGGGTGCAATCGCAGAAGCATCGCAGGGCCACTCCGCTGCGGAAATACCGTCAGCGGCACCGACGGCAGGTGGGCTAGAAGGCAGCGCTGGGTCTGGAACGCGGGCCGGCGTGCTGGGCGGCGGGGCGGCCTCTGACGGAGGACACGCGACATCAGCCTTGGCATCGCTCGGGCGTGTGCACGTCGCCCCGAGGGGGACCATCGAGGAGCGCCCTGGATCATCTTGCGAAAACACAGGTGCGCGAAGCGGAAACATTCATGGGGAAGCGACGTCCGAGCGATGGCAAGATCAGCAGTTAAGGAGTCTGTGGGAGTATGGTTAAGTCGGGCCTGTCCCTCTACAGGAGGAAAATTCAAACATATTCAAACAACATTTTTTGGGGCGGATTGTTTGATTATTTTTCATTTTTCGTCGAAGATCCCCCTGTAGGAGGACATGCCCGACCTAAGAGCATGGCGCTAATGCTCAGAGAGGCAGCGCTCCAGCAGCCCGCGCCGGGCGCGCCCTGGCGCATGTTGGCCCCCAACCCATCCCATCAGATCGTTGGGGTGCGGTTCCAACATGTGATCGTTTTTTTTGTTGCCGATCGGCGCGGACCCCCCGACCGCCCCTCCCCCCCCCCTGGAGTATATTTTGGTTGTTTTTGGCGCCCTTTTCGAGCAGGTCGAGTCTCTCTTCATAGGACCCACTGCTGCAAAACATCGCACTGAGCAGAGGTCTGGAGCCAGACCCTCCCCTCCCCGCCCCCCTTCCGCCCAATGCCGAAACGCCGAATAACAAAAACGCTCACCATCTGAGTAAGAAACCTCATCCCGTTAAGCTGGGCCAGCGTTTCTTACGCGACGGATTTGCCGGAAAGCCGGCCCAGTTTCTTAAGCACGCTCGTCTTTGCAGCATGAGCCCAAACAGTTGGCCCAGGTTTGTTTAAAGTCATTTCCGGGAAGCCGGCCCAGGTGTCTGGGATGATAGTTTTTGGGATTATATTTGTGGCTGTAGATGCGTTGCCATGAGCTGCGCCCCCAGCTCACCTGTCAGGAGCTGGTACCGTGCCGGCCGACCTCCCTGCGACCTGCGGCAGCACGCGAATCGCTGGTATTGCTGAAGCCTGCCTGGGTTTGCCGACTCTGCTGCTCCTGCCACACCTTGACTCGGCGATGTTGGCATCGCGCACTCCGATGTCGATGTGAAGCCACTTCCTTATTCGAGCGCGTGTCACATGCTGCCACAGGCCTCGGGCAGTCGCTTTTCGACCCTACCTTCCTCCGAAAAAGTGTGAGGCTTGGTCAGGCTGCAAGGAGGCTATGCGCGCGCCACGCGTCTGTCTGAAATTTCGCACGTGGCTGATTTCGTTGGGGCCACTTCGCCCGCACGATGCTTTGGGCGAATGCCGCATCGGCAATCTGAGGCTTCAGAGCTTGTTGCTTCAATGATTTGGTAGCTGCGACAGCTCAAGAGACGAATACGTAACTCCAGCAATGTTACTTTGCGCGGTCACGATGCGCGGCCACGACCTGCATGAATGGTTATAGTCCGAGGGCAAGCTTGCGATTGTCTGCGTACTGGATCAATACACATGGTTCGCTTCTAATTCTTCGAAAGTTCCTAGATTCTTTTTTGGGCCAATATTCTTTCATTTCTAATTGTTCTATCCTGGGCCTCTTCCTGGCCACCGGGGGGCTAGGAACAATTAGAAACGAGCACAATTGGAAATGAGCACGATTAGACATTAACGACGTGTACACTCGCCTCGGTATGTGAGGGGCGTCCGCGGGACCTTTTCCAAACGGCCTCGGCTTCCCGCGGTCATGGGGGCATGAAGTTCTCTGTCAAGCCTTCTGCCTCGGCAGGGGTACGTGCATGTTTCCACCAGTGCGCTTCTCCTGCCGTGCCGCTCCGATCCTTGCACCGACGGAGAGCTCATCCCAGACGTCGGGGCTGGGCGACCAAGTGCGGCTGGCACCGACGGGCTCACTGATCTTGGAATGGGTCGATGCGCCCAGAGCCTTTTCGGTACGCGGGAGTTTTCGGGAGGTGTCTCTGTGCGCGTGGGGTGTCCCCCATCCGTGCTCAGAGCGCCCATCACGGCCATCCCGCCGAAGTCCGAGGAGGTGGTGGCACAAGGCTGACCTCTTACCCACGCCTCGGTACTTCGTACTTCATCGCTGACGAATGCCGACTTCATGATCGCACTGCCTCACTGCTCAGTGCACCCAGGCGGATGATGGTGGAGAGACGAACTCCTTCATCTAATCGAGACCTCATCAACGGCGTTCGCTTTGAGGACGATCCACTGCTATTTGATGTGACTGAGAGGCTGGCCGCAAGCCTTCTGGCTGCATGGAGGGAGGGATGCTATTTAATGACACGTGCTGCTAATCTGATACCGTCTCGTCCTCCTTTTCCTGTCCTATTTTCTTTTGTCAATGGCCCGCTTGTGCCATCCCCCGTTTCCTGTACAAGGGCAAGGACGGGAGTAGGATACGGAGAAGGACACGGATGAGGTAGCCTGGCCCATCTTCATCTTTACGAGCGGCCAGGGAGACGGAGAGGAGGAGAGGACGACGAGGAGGATGAGGACGAGGAGAACGGGGATAACCAGGAGGACGAGGAGGACGAGCAGGACGAGGAAGAAGGGGATGAGGAGGAGGTGGAAGGGAAGGAGGAAGACGGCGACAACGATGAAGAAACGGAGGAGGCTGAGGAGGAGGAGGGGAGGAGGAGGGGGAGGTTGTGAAAGGCGATGAGTATGATGTTGATGATGGTGGTGATGCTGATGCTGATGATGGTGATGATGTTGGTAATGATGATGATGATGATGATGATGATGATGATGATGATGATGATGGTGGTGGTGGTGGTGGTGATGCTGATGATGACTATAGTGGTGATGATGACGATGCTGATGATATAATGATGATGGTGATGTTGTTGATGATGATGGTGATGGTGCTGATGCTGATGCGGATGCTGGTACTGATAACGATGATGATCACGATGATGACGACGATGACGATGGCGATAATACATATGATGGTGATGGTGATGGTAATTGCGATGGTGATTGTGATGGTGACGGTGATGATGGTGATGCTGATGATGATGGTGGTGATGATGATGAATTCGTTGATGATATGAATGATAATGATGATGCTGATGATGATGACGATGATGCTGATGATGATGACGATGATGATGATGATGATGATGATGATGAGGATGATGATGATGATGATGATGATGATGATGATGATGACGAGGAGGAGGAGGAGGAAGAGGAGGATGAGGAGGAGGGGAAGGAGGAGAAGAACAGTTGGGCCCCGCTTAGTCGGCTGGCAGAGCCACGGGGGGTGGTAGCATATTTCTGGCTGGCTGCAAAGCCTGCCCACCCGTGCCCGCGGGGATACACCCGCGGCCGGGCTCGAAGGTGGAGGAAAATGGAGTGCAGTCACGATTCCGAGGTAAGGACCACCTTGGGAGCCGCGTTTTGCATCGTATTCAGCGGCCAGCCATTGCACCCTCTGAGCGGCCAGTCCGTCCTTGGCCGGCGGACCGGCGCCTTCCCGCTGCACCCGCGCAGGTGCCCACCGAGCGGGATAGTCTTCTGTCTGTCTGTCTTGTCTGTCTGTCTGTTTTCTGCACGCGCGCACGCACGCGCACACGCACACGCACACGCGCACGCGCACAAATACGCACACGCACATGCACACGCACACGCTCAGAGGAAGACAAAGTACCCATACTGCTACCCTTCCCCCCATTTTACTTTTTTTTGTTCTGCCCTCCTGGGAGGCCCTCGTCGCCACCGCTGGATTCGCCTCGAAATTCTGGTCAGAACGCACCCCGGGAGAGGTCTGGGGAGAAGCGGTATCGGTACCTTGTGTTTTTCCCCACACGCGCACGCGCACGCGCACGCACACGCGCACGCACGCACTCACGTAGCTGTCACTAGTGTCGATAAGCGCTTGGTGCTCGAGGAGGAAGCGCCGAATCAGAGTCGATGGACGTCGTCTAGTGTCGTCGATCAGCGTCTTTTTTTTGGCGCGGATGGGCCTCGACTCAGACTCATAGTCGACTGGCGTCGACGAGTGTCGATTCGCGCGAGCCAGCAGGATGGCGAGGTGCCGCAGAAGGGGGGGCTCGGGGAGCTTGCTCTTGGCCGGGGCTGGCCGGGGCCAGAAACAAGCAGCGCTCCTTCCTCCTTCTCCTCCTCCTCCTCCTCCTCCTCCTTCTCCCCCTCCCTCCCTCCCTCCCTCCCTCCCTCCCTCCCTCCCCCTCCCTCCTCTCCTCCTCCCCTCCTTCCTTTCCTCCCTCCTCCCTCCCATCCTCCCTCCTCCCCCTCCCCCCTCCTCCCTCCCTCCCCCTCCTCCCTCCCTCCCTCCCTCCTGCCTCCCTCCCTCCCTCCCCTCCCCTCCCTCCTCCCTCTCCCTCTTCCCTCCCTCCCTCCCTCCCTCCCTTCCTCCCCTCCTCCTACCTCCTCCCTCCTCCCTCCCCTCCTCCCTCCCTCCCTTCT